GTTCGTTCACAGTTTGTAGATTTCAGTCCAGTTGGCTGGCTCTGAGGCAGGACAGCATGGAAGAGGGGCATGACAAGTGCAAGTATAAGTCTATTGGTTGGTGCCACCTACACTCAGAGTGTAGCCTTCGGTAAATCTACCACCCAAACCCAGGATAACTGCTAAACCCAATCAGTAGACTAATCCAGTACACTCATGATCCAGTATCACACATCCATGATCCAGACACACCCATGATCCAGTCACTCTCAAAAGCCTTACCAGCACGCATGAAGCTTTGGGGGGACATCCAGCTAAAAGCCTTAACATTCCACCAAGGACCCAAAAAGTCACCTGCACATCCCTTTATGCATTTAGTCTACTTGTGTGACTTGCCAGAGTCCTAACAGTTTGATCATTGTGGAAAAGTCCAAGTTTAAAGTCTCCCGTGAGATTTAAGGTAAACTCTTGACTGTGAGCCACTATAAAAGTGAAAAGAAAGATAAACATGTCCAACGTACAGTGGCACAATATAAACGTTCCCATTCCAAAAAGTACAAATAGGAGAAAAGAAAGAAATGGTACCAAAACAAGACTAGCAGGACAAACATTAAGTCTTGTAGTTCCATGTCCAGCATCTGCTGCAATCTGTGGCAAGATGCAAACTAAAGGGCTGGAGTGGCTCTGCTCCTACAGCCCTGCCAGTAGTTATAGCCCTCATGGTTTCTCTCTTGAGCCGACTTTGCTTACTCCTTACAGCTTTGCTCAGTTGATCCATATTCCTGTCTTCTCCAACCTTCTGGAGTCTCTATTGCACCTTCAGCTTTACACTCGCAGACTCACACACTGCCCTCGCAAGAGCACACTGCTTGACCTCCCAAGCCTTCTGAAATCAGGGTAGAATCCTTCTTGACCCCACAACTCTTGCATTCTGCATGCACCTAGAACCAGCACTACCTGGATGACACCAAAGTTTGCTGCCAGCTGGAGCAGTAGCAGGATTTCCTTCTCTCTTAGCTGTAGTGCCTGGATTGCTGAGTGCTGTGAACCCAATTTCGAGGAACCTTCCTTAGGCCACTGCCATTCTGGAACATGGTGTCCTGCGGCTGTCTTCTCAAAGCAAAGTCTTTACTTTGGCAATTTTGAAGCTACCAAGGATCTAGTCCTGCTGGTTCTTATGATACCCTCTAGCCATCTTTTCTATTGTCCATTTCCGAAGTACTTGGCTTTTTAATGTTAATCTTTTCTTTAGCAATCAAGTTTTCTTCTGCTTCATCTTTGCAGGCAGCAACTTTACCTGACCTTCCTTTAAGGCCAAATTCAAAACTTTTTAAAGTCATTCTGCTGGGCCACTTACTTTTTATTTTCAACGTAGATCTGGCTAAAAGCCCCCAAAAGTAGCCATGCTACTGCCTTGACATTAGACTGCTTTAAAATTTCTTCCACCAAGTAATTAGTCTATTGCACTTAATCTCAGTCTCCTGCATAGCTGGACAAGCAAAATGCAGGCAAGTTTTCTGCGAAAGCATAGCACACATGACCTGGAGTCTGCCTGCCAATGCAGTCCCTGTTGTTAACTCTAACCTTCTAAGTCTGTTACTGCCTCCATTTCTGTCAGCACTCTGGTCTTCTGAGCTCTGACCAGAATCTCCCACCAATTTCTGCTTACAGCATTTTTTTTTCTCAAGGCACAGGTGGCTTTATACCAACTCACTCTTCAAGAACTAACCCATGCCTTGGAGATGGTCTCTCTCTGTCTGCTCACAGCGTTTTATGGCTGCTTCTCTAGTTGGCATCTCTAGACCTTTCCAAACTCTTCTCACAAGCCAGTTTCAAAGGCTTCTGAATCGCATTGTCAGGGTAGTGTCACAGCAATGACCTCCAGCCCCCAGTACCAAAATATTATCCCTGCTCTTGGCTATTTATTACAAATTTAAAATTTTGTTTTCCAGGATTTCTATCAATTGAGTATGAATAACCACAGCTGGAAGAATTGGTTCTTCCGTATTTCCCTGAAAATAAGACATAACTGGAGCCCTAGGATGATTTTTTCAAGATTCTCATAATATAAGACTTACCCCCAAAGTAAGCCCCAGATAAGCCCCATCAGCCAGATGGACTTATTTGGTACCTCCCTTGCAACACATGATGGACATATTGAGTTATAAAATAATAATATATAATTAAATATAAATAATATTATTGGCGTTAATACTTAAAATAAATGATAATATTATTTGTAAATAACCAAGTAGGTGCTTTAGGATGAGAAGTAAACACCCGTGTAAACAGATGAACTTGAGACTTATTGCTGAGTGACCAGTTGGAGTTCAGACAAAACACGTGAATGATGTTAAACACTTGATAATAAATGAATATGGTTGTGTCTACTGTGAATCTTCATAATTCAGCATGTCATGTGTTGTAATAGACATACTTAATGCATTCATGTGAAGTAAACGTTTTGTGAATTTTGGTGCCTGCAATTTTTTGTCACTTTTGTGTGGGCCATCATTCTTAACTGTCATTTTTGTTGCCATTCTTTTCTTGTAAGTCTTTGATTAACACTTAATTTAATGAAAACTTTGTGAAGCCAGCCTGCAAGAGGTCAAGACTTGGGTGAAGAATTCATGGGATAAGATCACTGACAGCTATATTGCCAGTATACTGTGAGCCAGCTATCTGGACAAGAAGTGCTCGTTTAAGGAGAGCTTTTTAGCTGGACATGAGAGATTGGGGTCAGTGGTTCTATAGGAAATGGAGTTGCAAGAAATTCAGGCTGGAATTTGGGGTTTGAAGAGTTATGACACTGTTGCAGAAGAAGATGAAATGATTGTATTTGAATAAATGTACATTTTTGTGGACAAATAAATGTAGATTGTTGTATATGAAAACATAAAACATCCCCTGAAAATAAGCCCTTCTTTGACTTTTGGAGGGAAAAACTAATATAAGACCTGGTCTTATTTTCAGGGAAATATAGTTGTTGGGGTTTTGACTCAAATTGGTTGTCATGGTTTTCTGCAAAGCATTATCTTGAGTATAGGGAAGGACATGTAACTTTACCTCAGTAAAGCTGTATTCTGTTGGGAGAAACTGTAAAGGAAGGAAACTTATGATTGCTGAGCACTTAACTAACTGTGTGCCAGGTAGCATGCTAGTTGCTATAATCTTTAATCCTCAATACAAGCTTGTTTTTATTTTATAATTGAGTATATCTGAGTCCACCTAGTCATTAAATAACTCAGTCAAGGTCACAGCTGTGGTGTTAACCTGGATCCTGTTTCTTTTGCTCTGAAAACCTCCAGGTGGACAGGCATGTGGGCCAGCAGTGGTTGAGGGTGGAGGCTGAGAGTGGCCTCTGGTTCTGCTGGAGCTGGAGTCCCTGTATTTGAATGCCAGTACTCTGTCTCAGTAGGTGATTGGCTCAGGGTGCTAACCTGTGGGCCTCAGATTTCTTTCTCTTGTTTCTCCATTCTTTCTTTTTGAACTCCTATTTATTGTATCTGTTGTGAGGTCAAAGAAAAATCATTAGCGTCACACACTTTTTTGGATGGCACAGTGCTTGTGGAAGCAGAGGCAGCAGAGCCCAGGCAAGTTGTGTGGCTGCAACCTGTGTAATTAACCTTTATGGACCCTCTCTTTTTTCCTCATTTAGGTGATCATAATGATAGTACCCAACTCTTAGTTAGGGGAATTAAATGCAAAATTCTTAGTACCTGACATGTACAGTAATAAGCCTTAATGGGTGCTAATTATAATAATTATTTGTTAGTTTGCTTACTAAGGTACATATCCAATTTTCAGGGTTTAGAAACTTGATTTTATCAGTCTTCCTAGTTTGCTAAGATTCTGCTAAGATTTGCCAAGACATAGCCAAATTTATGATTGGATGAATAAACAGAATGTTAATTTGTTAAGGGAATGTTCTGGTTGTAGGTATATTTAGTTATTTCTTGTGATGTCAAACTAAATGCTTATTTATTTACACTTATGTAGCACAAATGAAATCAAAGTAGTTTTATAAGATACTTTATTTATGCTTGATAGGACCCGGAGAATGTTTCACAGAAACACTAGCACTTTCTGTACGCATGAATACTGCTGTGGGTAAAGACACCTGTATCCTTACTCCCCTTGAGTTTGCCTGGCTTGCCCCCCTTCTCTCTCCCGCTTCTCAGCATATCATGCAAGGTGAATAGTTAAACCACATTAGTAAGAGATTTATATTTGCAATTTCTCATTTTACTTTAAAGGGTAGTAATCTATATGCAAGGAATCCTTGTGAGGACAATTGAGTAGATTATCTCTACCTGATGCTGTGTGCTGTGATCCATGCATTTTTTTCTTTGGATGGTAGAGGGCATTCCCTTCCACCTTTATTAGCCACAGGTGATGTGTCTGCTTTTCTTTTGGCTCCTTGATATCTGACAGTTTGGGATGATTTGCTGACAATTCTCAGAAAAACTTGTGCTTTCATGTTTCCTAGGATTGGGGGCTGACATTTCCCCCTTGCTTTTCAGAGTCTTTTTTTCATGTAGGCTTCAGAAACTCAGAGCTGGGTTGACCTTATGGCAGTGTAGATGCATGCTCTAGAGCCCAGTGGTTGTGAATTTTAATTCTAGGTCTGCCACATACCTCCTTGGACAGGTACTCAGACTTCATGATTTAAATGACAGGGTCTTAATGTAGGGCTTAGTAATAGTAACTGCTTAACTCTGTGGTCATAAAGATAGATCTCATAACCCACATCATGGTATCTACAGCCCTTTTTGCAGTCAGTAAATGTTAGCTGTTAGCATCGGCTACTCTACACCCATTCTTTTATACATGAGACACATCAGGGAAAGAGAAATTGTAAACAACTTGTACAGAGTCAGATAACTAAACTGCAAGATTGAAAACCTGTCTTAGTTTCTATCTGAGATGTTTATGTAAAGAAATGTTTTTTAAAATGATGGATAATGTTTTCCATTTATTATGGCTCTCAGAAACGATTCTCTTGTTTTGTTTTCTTTTAGGATCTGGAGTTCCATGGAGTGATGAGATTTTATTTTCAAGATAAAGCTGCTGGAAACTTTGCGACAAAATGTATTCGGGTCTCTAGTACAGCAACCACTCAGGATGTGATTGAAACTCTGGCAGAGAAATTCCGCCCTGATATGCGCATGCTGTCTTCTCCCAAGTATTCACTCTATGAAGTGCATGTCAGTGGAGGTTAGTGTATACAGACATGGTTTGCTGGAGTGTGTCCTGAATTGGGAGCAGATAGCCTGTCTAGGGGCATTTTAGGCACATTACTGGTTTACTTCTCATCTCAGTCTGGCCTTTTGCACAAGCTGGGGAGTGGTTGGCAGGTTGTCAAAACTTTGAGAATAGTGTGTAAATTCCTTGCACATGTATTTATTGGAGGCTAGAATGATTATGTAAGTTTAATATTCTCTTCAAGATAAACATAACATTTCATAATTAAAATTATTTGTGGGGCACACCTGTATTCTCAGCATTTGGGGATGCAGGGGCAGGAGGATTGCGACAAGTTCAAGGCCAGCCTGGGCTACATAATGAGTTCAACTCCAACCTGGACTACATAATAAGACTCCCCCCCCCCCATTATCTAACTTACCGGAGTGTCACATATATCAATAATCCTGCTTTTGGAGAAATATTTTACGTATATATTATTGTAATAGTAACCCATTTAAATGTTGTATACGGTATATGACATCTTGCTGTCGTGTTTTTGCTTTCTGAAACAGCATATTTTTATTCTTTGGTAATAATTTAGGGCCTCTTATGGAAAATCCTCCTTATATACTTAGTAATTTCTCCTTATTTTAACATTGGGAATTTCTGAAAGCATCCTGTATAGCTAAATAAAATGATAACTCAAGTTGGACTGAACAGAAATGTAGAATTTATATAACATTTTTATAGGTGCTTTGGAAATGTTGAATAATCTGTGTGAAAAATAAAAATTACAATAGTGAAGCAAATAAATGATTCTGTAAGGTACAGCAGACCCAGTCTGAGTACTTCTTAAATTTCATCCACGATGTCTTTGGACTACAAATATACAGCTGTCTTTGTACATTTGAAATTTAGCCTGAAATGTTTATAACGTGGGATTTTCAGATGTAATGAACATGTTTTTCCCAGTGGGACAGAAGGAAGGTTTGTTTATTACATTTTTAAGGATACAAGAGCATTCCCAGCATAAATAATACCCAAACTAAATTTGACAACAGAGAGCATTCTCAATTTGGAATAATTGTCTGCCCTCAGGTTTTTCCTATGGCTTCTGGTCCTTTTTCTCTCTGTCACTGTTTGATTAGTTGAATACTACCAAGTGAAGTCATTGGAATATTATTATTTAAGATTGGTATTTGAGATCTAAAAATTGAATGATTGTGATTTTTTTAAAGGAATTTTTCCTTTAAACTTTCTGTACTAGATTTGTTTTTAATGAAAAAGTAAAATAGGGTGGGGATTTAGCTCAGTGGTTTCACCGCCTGCTATGCAAGCGCAAGGACCCTTCGATCCCCGGTACCAAAAAAAAAAAAAAAAAAAAAAAAGTAAAATAGATTATGTATAAGGGTTTAAAACAAAACAGAGCTGTTTAGAAAAAAAGGCAATGGTGTCCCTCCTTTTCAGGTACCCTTGCTCACCTTTGTGTATAGAGCAATGATGTCCTCACCCATGCTCAAACATAGGAATCTGAGCACGTAGGTTCTCAGCCTCCTCCAGAACTGCTTCCCTGACCTCTTAGTCTCTCAGTGATTTTTAAATGGTACCACCAAGCCAAAGGAAATCTATAGCAGTCCAATTTAATATGTAGTTAAATTTAGATAATTAGTGAATACTGTATTTAATGACCAACAGTTTAGTGTAGATGTTTGACAAAAAATGCTATGCATAAAGTGAAAGCAAACTAAAACTTCATTTCATTTTTGATCAGGACTGCTACTGATGCAGGTGTGTCTCCTGGCCCTACTGTGCTCCTCAGACTCCAGGTGCTCACTTCTCATCCGTGTTGGTTTTCAGACAGTGCTTTTTCATGTCCATTAATGTGGACAGAAGGGATCCTGTACTATCTACTAAGGACCAGGAACCTCTTAGAGTCAGAGATTCCTACTGTGTCTGGAAGAAGCACCACCTTTGAATGTTTATTTCAGTGTGCTTCAGTGGCCTGTAGTCAAAGGATGACCCACCGTCACTAGGTGACCCATCATGACTGCCTGTCAACCTTCATGAGTGAAAGTAGGGGCCAGACTTGTATTTTAGCCACCAGGGAAACAAAATTATACTACTTTTAAAAAATATATAAAATTAGCTGGGCATGGTGGCACATCCCTATAATCCCAGCACTCAGGAGGATGAGGCAGGCAGATTGCCATAGTTTGAGGCCAGCCTGGAATATATAGTGAGTTTAAAGCCAGCCTGGACCTAAACAGTGAGAACCTGTCTCTAAAAACTTTTCAAAAAATTCTATTTATTTATACACACACACACATATTCATACACACACACACACACACACACACACACACACACGCACGCATACATGTTTATAACAGTCTCTTCACATTCAGTGATCCATCACTGTGCTTTAAGAATAGTCACCTTGGGGACCAGGGATTTAGCTCAGTGGTTCTACCACCTGCCTGGAAAGCACAAGGTCCCAAGTTCGATCCTTATTACCAAAAAAAAAAAAAAAAAAAAGAGTCACTTTGTTTTGTTTTACTTTTACGATTAGTCTTAATGGTCTCTAAAAACTATTACATCATTAAGGATTTTGATCTAGTATAAATTTTGTAACAAGAATGATTAGTAGTTTTAGTTTATAGCAGGAATTCAGATTTGTTGATTCCATCCCTGGTTTGTTATGCTGACTTCCATTTTTTATGTTTTCATTTGACAACATAATAATTTATAGATTTTGTTATTCTTGTATTCTGATACTAGCGTTACTGTTTATATATAATATTTAATAAGTGCTACTAGAAGTCTAACTTTGATCCTTTTACCACAATGAATACCACTGCATCCTGTTTTTACTGTCAGTTTTTCAAAAAATCTGATACAATGGTACTTCAGTTCACGAACTTATTTCCACAATTCTGGTTGCAAATTGGACGAAAACCAAATCAATTTTAATGGTTAAGTTCAATGTTGACCTTATGGGGAAATTTGATTCGGTTCCCAACCAATTCAGTTTGCAACCATTATGGTTTAAAGAAATTAAGTTCATGAACCGAGGTGTCAGCATGTAATGACCTCATCAGCTTTGCCAACACTATCACCATTAGTCATTATGTTGTCATACTTTGTTGAGGGAAAACTACTGCTCATTTAAAATTTAAATTTTGTATATAGAATTAGAAGTGCTCGATCAAATGCATTACTTCTGGTCCCTTGTTTGAGATTGTATTTAAAACACTTCTGTACCCAAGGGACATGCTTTTCCTCCTCCTTATCTTTCTGACCCTTTCTGGAATGATGCCTAGTCATCCTTCCCTTCAAGTCCTGGCCTAGCCCTGTACTGTAGGTGGTCTGTTCATTCAATAACCTAACTACAAAGTGACCTTTCTTTGTACTGCCTCAGTCTTTTATATTGTAGTATATTATTATATACAGCAGATTCATTGATCTGAGCTACTTACTAACTATAAAAGGCCTCTTAAAAGTAACCCTACTGAGAACTAGAAACACATTTTATAGTAAATACTGACATTAAAAAATTTGAAAGAGACTTTAGTTTGGAAAATGAAATCTGTCACATATTTAACTGTTTTAGTTTCAAGTACAGATATTCCTTGTTTAACAACCTACCTGTTTAACTACTCTTTGAACTTATGACCTGGCACTCAGACTTACGACCCATCTTTTTGGGTTTTTTTTTTTTTACAGTTCTGTACATCTTGTTTATAGAGTCCCAGTGTATTTTTTTGTACAGTACACCTTGTTTATTCAGTACTGTAATTTTTGCTGATTTTATAGTTTTCTGTTCTGTTATACATTACAGTACTGCATGTAAGAGTTATGCAAATAAAAGCAGTCATTGTTAGAGTTTCCTTTACCCATTTCTTTGTTTTGAATATTATAATGTACATAACTATATACAATTCCTCATTCAGCGACCAGTTCACTTAACAAGCTAGTTGCAGGAATGGAACACGTTCATTAAACAAGGGAGTGTCTGTACAGTACAGGCTAGTTTACAAAACAGAGACTCAATTCTAGCTCTCTTGAATTCTGTGCTGCTGCGTATCATGGTCAGGAAGAGCTGCTTTGGCTCAGGACCAGAACTGGTACTCCTTCCAATCCTTGGAATATAAGATCAGCCCCTACAAAGAGCCAGTGCTGTCAGTTGTGTCTTTAGTTGTAACTAACTGCCTCATCCTCATGCGTCGCTGGCCAAATTTATACTTGGTGTAATTTTTAATATCACTTTCATCAGAGACTTCACTCTTTCTGCAGGATTTAAAGTTTTACTTAGCAGTCACTTTGCATTGCATGTGCACAACCCCTGCCTCCTGGGACATGTGGTGACCATGCTGTGCAGTAAATGGGGTTGGTTGGGTGCTAGAAAATGATTGTGGGAGAGGGAATAAATTTCAGCACTGGCTAGTTCCTTACATCACCGAATAGTTTTACTATGTGTTGAATTTTACTTTTTCAGTCAAGCCCAAAAATGCTGGGTCTTGTGCTATTGATGTTCAAGTTATGAAGCACCAAGTTAGGAGGAACCTTTGTGCAGGGAAATAAGCATTCCTGAAAAGTCTCTTCTGCCAAATGTATCCTAAATGGCTTTAAGAGAGTGAAAGATTTGGGCAAATCTCTCAAAACCTGTTTAAATTTGTAACATGACTAGAACAAAAGTAAGAACACAATAAATGGATTTCTCCAAAGGACCTGGGGAATGTAGTCTCAGAGATAAGTGGGCTTCAGCTCCCTGAGTTTTCTGTGCCCTGAAACAGGTGTCTCAGCTAGTAGGAGCATTTCCATCCTTCAGTGCCTTCTCCACAGAGCTTCCAGTCAATTGGAGGCCTCTGGTATGTGGGTAGGGCTTCTCAGGTCTCTCTTAGTTGAGTGCCTTGTCCTGATCAATGTGCCTAGGAGACTTGTTAGGGTCTGAAAACAAAAGCCACGGTGTCTCAAACATAGCACTTAAATGAAGAAAAAACAATGGCAGGTTTATGGAAAAGGGAATTTGAGGGTTGCAGTTGGCAAGTTTTCGAGACAAAAATCAGATGCACAGATAGAAAAAAATAATGAATAGTAATCACTTCTAAGATTGAAGACAGTCTGTTGTCTTTTCTTGGTAGGGTATAACTAATGTGATTAAAAAAAAGCAGACAGGTACCGGTGGAATTTCTGTGTTATATTAACATTATTTCCTAGTTTTCTAGTTGTATATGAGATAGTTGATTTACAGAGATAGGATTAGATAGCAAAACTGTTATGTACTCTTTCCTAGTTCACGTATATTCCTGTTATTTTCCAGCAAGATCTAAATAAGCAAAATGCCCCTGGTCGGTGTCTGGCATGGACACATGTTCCAGCATGAAGAAGACTGAGGGAACACGAAGTGGCCAGTTAACCAAGACGGGTTATTCTAAACAGTGCATTCCATTTTGTCAGTACATACCTGAGGGAGTAAAGTACTTTACATCTATAAAATTAAGTGCATATTACAAGGCTGACTACTGTACTAATGTCATGAAATAACCACACTATTCTCTTTTTCCATTTCATGTTTTAAAGAAGAAAGAAGATTGGACATTGATGAGAAACCTCTAGTTGTACAGTTGAATTGGAACAAAGATGATCGGGAGGGCAGATTTGTCCTTAAGAATGAGAATGATGCCGTTCCTGCCAAGGTAGGAGCCCTGTCTTATACTGTAGTCTAGGCCAAGTCCAGTAGAAATAAGTAGGAGGTTGATGTTTTGTTGCAGGCGTTACTTCACCTAGTAATCCCAAATGTTGCGTTTTCTCATATATGTACATACATATATGCATTTGTTCATTCATTCATTCATTATTTATTGGTGTTGTAAGATGGAGCCTCACTATGTAATTTAGGCTGGCCTTGAACTTTTGGCCATCCTCCTGCCTCAGCCTCCCAAGTGCTGGGATTATAGGCATGCACCACCATGCCTGGCTTCTTTCTTTTAAAAAGAAGAGTTACATAAGCTTTTGTGACCAAAAAAGTTAGTGATCAAGTCATTGTCTTTGGTTCTTTCCCATAGCTCTAAAATCAAACTGTTCTAATAAGAATCAAAAAGGAAAAGAAAACTTTCGTGGCCTATTTATGTGTAACTTTCAGATATGATTTCATAAGACATATTTAAGACTTTTTTTTTTGGTACTGGGGATCGAACTCGGGACCTTGCACTTTCAAGGCAAGTGCTGGAACTACTGAGCTAAATCCCCGGCCCAAGACCTTTTTATATGATGTACACAATGTTAGGAGTCAGTAAACATTCTTGAATTTCTCTGGATGATGTAATAGAAGGATTCTAAAATTTTCTCAGGTGGTAGAATAATTGGAATTCTATACTATTGTTCTTTTTTGTGTGTGATATATTAATATAATTTGAAAATAACTATAATTCTGTGTTAAATCATGTGCCATTTTACACGAGAATTTAGTATTAAATGGTAGCAAATCCAAAGGTTAAGAATATTTTGAAAAAATGTTCTATTTAATTTTCCTTCCAACTGCTTGAGAAAAGACTGTCATTCACTTACAGCAGCAGAAAAATTTTCTTTTCTGTGATGTTAGTGTTGTCTGCTGAATACTAGATGTCTCTACAAATGTATTCTTGAACATTCTTGTTACTGTGGTCTAGTGACTTGTATTTGCAGCAAATGCTTATAAAGTACAAATGGGTTTCTGTCCTTTGGCTGCCCATATTTTATTTTATTTTCCTCCATGATTTTAGCAGTGGCATTCTGTTCTGTGTGCTTTGCTGTGTACCCCAGATTGTCACTGCATGTCCACGGTCTTAGGACCAATATAGTGCTCTTAAGTAACTGTGAATGGAAATGAGAATATTAGCATTCTCTTCTCCCTTATCTTATAAAGTAGAAAACAGTTTTCTTTTCCAATAAAACAAATACTCTTTTTCTTATTTTTCTTAATTCTTTACCCATTAAGTTTCTATATAAAAATAATGTGGCTTAATGTCATCTGCTAGCAGGCCATGTTTTTAGGTTGAAGTATAAATTAAGGATAAGCAAGCAAATGGAACAAGATCTGGGGAAGAAGACATTTTTGGAGAAACAGTATGTAGTACTTTGGCTCACAAAAGCCAAATTTAGGCTACTCTTAACAGTTCTTTTGAAGTTAAACAAAATTATCTAGTAAGTAGATGATAATGTAGACTTCTTGTTCTCATATTTTCATTAGGTTTCTTTTAAGTTACTTTATGGTAACTTATTTGGAATTTTATTTATTAAAATTCAGATCTCATGATTCCTACTGGAGTTTTCTTACTGGTTTTGAGTTGTTTGCTAGCTTGTTAGTGAGGTGATATTTATATATGGTGAAATGGATCTTCAGTGTACAGTTCAGTTGGTTTTGACAAAAACACCCATGTCATTATCACCCCAATCATGGTAAAGAACATTCCCACCAACCTAGACTGCTCCTTTTCTATTGCTAAGATTTTCTCTGTGGCTTAGGAGGCAGAGGTAGCCAAGCTGTAGGGAACTTCATGAAATTCTTGTTAGTGGCCAGTGTAGTAATTATGTTACTTTTATCAGAAGACTCAAAGTAATGGACCTGAAAAGCAGGAAAAAGAAGGTGTTATCCAGAACTTCAAGAGAACTCTATCAAAGAAAGAAAAGAAGGAGAAAAAGAAGAGAGAAAAAGAGGCCTTGAGACAGGCATCTGAGAAAGAGGACAGACCTTCCCAAGGGGATGAGAGGTAAGTTAGTTTTGGAAATATTCCTATTACTTTGTGCTCCAAGCCAGATGTTTTTAATGCAGACAAACTTGTTAATTTACCCAGGTAAGTTACGGAAGGGTGAGTATCAATAATCAAGTCTATTGAATAAGCATTACTTAGTAGCTTAGTGGCTGTCTCCTGAGGGTAGAAAGACTGCTCCATGGTCCTGCTCATCCTAGGCAAACCCAGGTCACCACTGCGGTTTTTCCTGAGCAGGCCTTTGTGCCAGTAGCCTCGTCATCTGGTCTTTTCCTCTCATTTCTGTGGTTTTGATCCCGGAGACAGCAGTGGTTTCTTACATGCTTCAAATGCTTGGTCAGAAGTTGGCATCTTTTCAAGGTTCAAATGTACCATCTCTAGATCCCCCCATTTCTTATCCTGTCCCACTATTATCATAGATGTAATGTACTTCAGTGGTCCCAAAGTATTTGAGCTTTTGACATCAGAGCTCAGGGCAGAAGGAAAATCATACATTAGATAACCTGGACGTTTCCCTTTAGGTGGACTTTTCAGTTCCCAGTTCACCCTTCGAAGTTTTCATTAATTTAGTTCATTTGGCTATCATATTGTTTGGCTATCATATCATATCTTACTTTTAGGTAGCTTGCTGTTGCCCTGGTTTTGACTGTATCACATTCTAAATATTACTTTTTTGTTGCTAAAATAATATATATTTGATTTAGAAAGTCAAAATATGTACATTAGCAAGAAAGAGTAAAGAATTCACCCATTGTCACATGAACTCAAAGAGAACCTTAGTTTGTTTTTTCTAATGTATACACTTCCCATACTTACAAGTTTTAAGGAAATATATCAGTCTTTTCCACTTAACCTTCCACTGAGACATGTGTACACACTGTATACATAGATACATATATTTTTTTCTCACAAAAACAGTTTTAAATGATCATGTGATATTCTGTCACACGGTTCTATAATTTATGTACCTGGTCCCTTTTTGGTGCATTTGTTGGTTTACATTGTTTTGGTATTATAAATTAGGATCCAGTAACTAGAACTTTGGGAATTTATCTGATTACTTCCTTGAGAGACACTGTAGAACAGCTAGGTGATGGGTCTGGATACTCTCAACCCATTGCCAGACCAGCCCTTCCTCACATTTGGCCTGTGAGACCTCTCCTTTCCATATACTCTGAAAGCTCTTGAATATTACAGGACACTATATTATCTCTATATAGTGGTATTTAATATTCTCAACAAATTGAATTAATTTTTTTAAGAAAGTAATATTCTGTGTTTTCATTAACTGTTTTTATTCTTCTGGTGCGGTGCCCTCTTCAAGGCTTTCCCTCATTGCTGAAGTTTTCTTAGTATCAAGCATTTCAGCCCTTTGTCTGTGAATGATGTTAATTTAGAGAAGAACTTGAGCCCATTTGAGATTGTGTCAGCATGAGTTTAGATGTTAATCTACTAGGCAGTGGTGTCTGTATGATCACTGGCGCATAGTACTACACAAGCTTTATTTAACAGTGATGCAAAAAAACTTGCATAGATACATTGCTATACATGTAAAATGTCAAAGAAAAGGAAAGTAAACACTAATGCTTTATGGTTTGTTCTGTTTATTTAGTTTATGAGGCAATATATTCTTTGATTTAGAAAGTGAGCTACTTAAAATGAATTAAATTGTTAAACTTGATTAAAATTTTAATGATTTTTAGATTATTTTGATTAAATTATATTTATTAAAATCTTATTTACCTTAATGTTTATTAAACTTTTTCTGTCTTAACCTTAATATTTCATTTTCTGCTCATCATTCTATACTGTCGATTCCTTCCACAGAAACTATTGTAACAATTTCTTTTTGAAAATTTAACTTTAAGAAAATGAATGTTAGTAAATCTTTTATGCATTAAAAAATCATGTTTAATTTGCATTCAAGATTTACTATAATTTTAAGCGAAGTTCTTACTAAAGTGCATTCAACTCTTTTTTTTTTTTACTTCAGAATTCTCTTCTTTTTTTTTATTCATTAAGTTTCTTGGTATATTTTAGGTATACAGTATGATGACATTCATCACTAGGAACTTGCACCTTTACATGACATATCTTGGTTCTTTTTTTTCCCCCCATTCTTCTGCCCTCCCCTCAACCCCTCCACCCCTCCCTATTTACAAAGTCTTTGTTTCCATTTTTTCTTTTTCTCATATGTTTTCCTTTCCCTTCTTTTCTTTCCCCATCTCTCCCACTTCCCTTGCCCTTTGGACCTTTTCTTCCTATTTCACTCTATTCTTATTTCTTGTGGTTGAAATGTTATGATGTAATATTACTCATTTGGTCTGTTTTAGGAAAATACTGGTGAACATGACTGAAATATGTAATTTATACATTTTTGTTTTACCTTTTTTACACAATTCAGTTGTGTAAACTCACAATAAAGTTTTAATTGTAGATTTTTGGCTAGTTTAGTGTGTTAGAGTATACTGAGAGAAATTAGTCTCATAGTAATTAGTGCACTGTAAATAATATACAGCAGACCTGTTAGGATATCATTTTAGTCAAATAACACCTGCCATTTTGATATTTGTATGATTTTGTATTTCTAGTAGGAAAATAGATAGTACACAATTGGTGGGGTTTTTTCCTCTTAAAAGTGAGAATTCCCGACTGGCTGCTGAGGTTTATAAAGACATGCCTGAAACCAGCTTTACTCGAACAATTTCTAATCCTGAGGTGGTTATGAAACGACGGAGGCAACAAAAATTGGAAAAGAGAATGCAAGAGTTCCGGAGCTCAGATGGGCGGCCTGATTCAGGTAAATGGAATATGTTTCTCTGCATGCCTGTATAAAGAGTATTTATTATACTTTTTATATATGCATGAGGCTTCCCTAACTAAAGTGGTGGATGAGGTAGCATTGTATCCTATAGATGTCTTTTATGTAGAAGAGTTCTGTTCACAGATAGGCTTAGTTGCATATTTTTTCCCAGCATAGATGTTTGGTATTGTTTTGTGTTTGAGACAGGGTCTTACTCTGTATTTAGGCTGACCTTGAACTCATGGCAGTCCTCCTGTATTACCCTCCCAAGTTCTGGGATTATAGGCACCAACATGTCCCACAGCATAGCTTTTAAAAAAAATCTAGAAATTTTCAAATATATACAAAATAAAAAGGAAAGATGTAATAAACTTTCCTATGCCTATCACAAAGTTTTGATAATTAATAACCCATGTTTCTTTTCTACTCCAATATAGATTGCTGTCATTGCCAAAACATTATTTTTAAGTAAATTACAAGTTTGTCATTGTTTCATCTGTAAATATTTGGATTATTTTCCTGAAATATGAAGATTCTTAAAACAAAAAATGTAACCCCGGTGCCATCATCACATATAAAATAATTGACAGTAATTCTTTACTGCAATCAAATAAATACATTGCTTAGGTTTTTCTAATTGCACCTGGTGATTCCTTTATTTGAATTAAAATTCAACTGGGATTTCCACATTAAAATTGATTAATATGTCTTTTATATTTTTCTACAATTCCCTTTCCTCTTTTATTTTACTTCTTTTTTTTTTGGCCTTGAAAACTTAGGTAATTTGTCTCAGATTTTGCTGAATTAACTCCTTTGGTGCTATTTAACATTTTTTCATTCTATTTTCTCATTTTCCTTGATTAGATGAAAATACAGGTATAGATACAGAAGTGGGATAAGAATACTTCAATTACTATCCTCCAAAGTTGATCAATGAGTTTTAAGACTTTTTAATGCACTTTGGATTTCAAACTCTAATGTTTTTGATCCGGTCCATTTTCTGTTCTGATTCCTGAATTAGTCCTCAGTGGCATTTTTGTGTGGCAGGCAGTCTGCTCACATGTACACATATTGCTCAGGCTTTGAGACAGCTGTTGCTCTAAGGAGTCTACGTTTCTTTAAACTATTTTGATTTTAGAAAATATGGGTGTTTTTTATAGTAACATTCTTAACAAAATTATTTATTTTTCTCTATAATACATAATAAAAGTGTCAAAATAAATAATATATAAACAGTATGATACTGAAACATTGTAAGATTTTTGTGAAATGTTGAGGTATATCTTGTGTAGACATGCTGTTGAAGTGGTGTGTTTTAACATAATTGATTTCTGTTTCTATGGCTTGTTCCCATATTGATTTACACTTAGGGGATTTTTTTTGTTTTTGTTTTTTACTTTAGAGGTTTGCTTCTTTAAAATTTAAATTTGGTTAATAGTTTCACAGTCAAATCTACAAAATAAGATACAGTTAGAGAGGTCCAGCCTTTTCCACCCATAAATGGCCGTGTATTGCATACTTTTATCCTAACTTGTTTTTTTTGTCTTTGCCAGTATAATCTGGAGCTTGCTCCTTATTTTTAGGGAAATGGAGATTATAAAGAGAACAGTTTACTGTTGGAGTTATGAACTTGTTTTGGTTTTGTACTGTATATTTTAACTATTTGACATATTTTTACTTTGACTTGTAATTGTATTCAGCAAAGAAAATACTTACTAAAAAATTGTTGAGTTAGAAAGTAATTTTACTTGTTAAAAAATAGTAGCCATTTGAGTTCAGTAACCATTTGAGTTTTTGAAAAAATCATTGTATTGATCTAAAAAATTTAGGTTTTTTTGCCGTCAACTCTGTATTTTTCATATAATGTTGCATTTGGGTGCTTCACAGTTGGACATTTTAATGTTATGTTTTGTATACCTGATAGCTTATTTGGTAGTTGTAGGAATTTGGATGTGAAAATTGACAAAATTTCTCTAAAGTCTTATTTATACTAGTTTTAGTGGGAAAGATTGCTTAATTCTAAATCTTTTCTCTGGAATCCAAGACTGAGCCAGAGTGTTTTACTATCTGTCCAGATTGTGTTTATAGCTGTCATCTGATGCTGTATGTGGTGGCAGTTTATATCTGAAGGGGAGGCTGTGTACATGCTAGCATTTATCTGAGTGACAGTATTGTCATGTGTTTGCTTAGTAGTCTTCATTTGTTCTCCATTCAGCAGGTAGGCTCCATAGACTCTTCTAAAATGCCCAGTCACTGGATCCTGCCCCTTCACAGATGGAGGATTCAGGGCTCTGTAGTTCATTTCAGCACAGAGTTCCACACAGCCCTTGAGCTAGGGTGGAGGTTGGCCCTGTGATTCTCTTTTTTTTGGTACCGGGGATCGAACTCGGTACCTTGAACTTGCGAGGCAGGTGGCAGAGTCACTGAGCTAAATCTCTGGCCCTCCTGTGATTCTCTTGCTGCCTCAGCATTGTGCACTGGTTTCGGCTCTTCATGCCCTGAAATCAGGTATTTCACAGGGATTATGTTGGTGATTTAAGAAAAACTAGGAGAGTGAGGGACTTTTTGATTCCATAAATACTTTAATAGGGTACTTTTAAGACCTTAAGGATTATTTTTTCGATGTGTTTTTTTTTTGTGAAGGATTTGAAATGATTTATAAATATATGTACTGAAAAAAATTGAGAGGTAGAAAAAAATACAAAGAGGAAGAAAAGTAGCAACAGTTTTAAAAAGGGCAAGAGGAACGCTCAGAAATGTCTGTGGTGCTGACCACATATCAGACCTGAAGACAGTTGGGTGCTGCAATTTGACATTGTTCCTGAAATGTGTTTCTGAAGATAAATCCATGGCCCCTTGAAGAACGAAGTATGAGCTCAGGGGTGTGTGAGTCACGATAAAGTTAGCTAGCTTACAGTATCCTGTTTTTATATCGCTATTTTTATTATTATATATAATTAATAGTGTATAACAGACCTGTTAGGGTATAGATATAGCCAAATAACATCTGCCTCTTTGATATTCATATGATTTTATATTTCTTATAGGAAAAAGATTTAAAATATTGGGTTTTTTTTCCTTACAATAAGAATCCTAGATCGTTGCTGAGGTTGAACCCAGGGCCTCACATATGTTAGGCAAGTGCTCATACAATCCAGCCCTTTAAAACATTTTTCATTTTGAGACAGTCTTGCTAAGCTGCGCAGGGTGGCCCCAAACTTGGGATTCTTCTACATCAGTGTCCCAAATAGTTAAGATTATAAAATGTATTTTAGTGCAGATAAGAATGCAACATTTATGTGCATTTAAAAAAAAAGCATTTTGCGTGTGACTTAGCATCTCCAGATACCCATATTTATTTTCCATTGTCATTGGGAGTACTTTGATGGAAAATTTGATATGCTTTATTAATAAGCTGCTGAAGAGTTTTAAGCTGCAAATCCAGAAGGCTTTCAATTTATCCTCAGCTTCGGATCTAGATAGATTATCATGGAAGCAGAGTACTGTGGTCAGAAGTGGTATGCCCATGAAAGCATTGCACTACCCATATGGCCCAGAGGGGCCAGGCAGGAGTAAAGAATGTTGAAGGGATAGAGTGTCATGACTGTAAGAGATTGGGTTTTACTCAGGATGAAACTGGTAGGTGTTTATGGACTGTGGAATGAAAGGGGTGGAAGATGGGTTTTATTTCATTGTGTGAGGGGAGGTGCTGGCAGGGTTCAAGGTGTATATAGGCTGGTGACTCAGTGCCCCATCTGGATCCCTGCTCAGCAGTGGTCGTGTAGGATTGGATATTGGGAGTGATCTGTTTAGTTGGGAGGCAGCATCACTGAGTGAGGATGACATTTTGTTGGGTAAAAAGTATACAAGTAATGTGAAACTTAGGGACAAACAATAATTAAGAGGAGCCAACAAAACAAAAAAGGACCCCAAAGAATTAGGAAGAGAAATAGCAGAATATCAAAGCACAGAGTTTGTCTATTAAAGGGGTAGTTGAGGAAAGAAAGAACATTTGTCTATATATAGAGTCCCAGGAAATGCCTGAGCACCTAATGTTATTAGGAAGGTAGGTGTTTATGGTTAATATTAAAGAAAACAAAAATATTATGTTCAAGTTTTTGTCTGTTTAAGATTTCAGGACTGATTAATGGAGGGCTAATGTAGAAAGCAGATTGTGACACTAAAAGTGAAAATATGTGTTGGTTTCCATTAAGAAGAAACATAGAGAGAACCGAGGATCCCCAGTCAGGGTCCCCAACTTCTCAGTTGGCTTATTTTTTTCCCCCTCAAATGTGTTCACAGCTAGAAATGACTTTCTTAGTGAAAGCAGCCCCACTCTGGTGACACATCCTCAAGAAAATTCTTTGGACCTGATCACCTGAATGTCATGAATCCTTAGATCACTTTCTTAGAGTGGATTTGTTCAGTGGGACTAATATTTAACTTCATTTGGCTTTCTGTTTGTATGAGATGGAGGTTCAAGGAAATGAGAGAAGTGGAGGAAATAGGTGTGTGTAGAGACGGGATGCAGTGGAGGACAGCTACACTGCAAAGACCATCTCAGCCCTTCCTTTTTCTTTCTTATAGTGAGAATCAGCTCATTACTTTGGAAACACATCTGTGTGAAGAAAAGACAGGCATAGTGTCCATCACAGAAGACTGCTCAGTGGAGCAGAGTGTCACTAGGTCATCAGGTTCTTGCTGATGCAGTCTTTCTGGGCACTCATTGCAGCTGGCACTCCATTGCCCTTTCTTAAGCTTTGTAAGTGGTAGCTATCTCTGTTACTGATGTGAACTTGTGCTCAAATATGTTAAACATTTTTTTTTAGGTGGAACATTGAGAATTTATGCAGATAGTTTAAAACCAAATATTCCATACAAGACAATCCTGCTGTCTACTACGGACTCAGCAGACTTTGCTGTGGCCGAAGCTTTAGAGAAGTATGGTCTGGAAAAAGAAAATCCTAAGGACTACTGCATTGCTCGGGTACGTAACTGTTGAATTGGTGGTTCTTACCCTTATCATTCATGCTAGGACATTGCATTTGAAGGGAAAGGTATCTCTTGATTTTCTCCCCACTGTACATTTAGATTCTGATGAACTGAAACCATATGTTAGCAGTCTCTCATCTATTATAAAAGTAACATAAGATCCAGTTGTAAAATTAAAAAATATAAAAGAGCAAGTTGAAGAAAAATAGCACAGAATTTACTACCAAAGGATAACCATACCATTAACATTTTGATATACATCCTTTGAATTTTTGCTTTGCACACAGTTAATTTTATTTGCATTGCTTTAATAATCAACTTTGACTCAGATATTCAAGAAATACAGTGAAGTGTTAGGCCTCAGAATTTATTTGGTACCATTAAGTAAAGTCCAGCAAGTTTTTTATTCTAAGTAACAAATTATCTGGAAAATTCTTAACCTGTAAGTCACAGTGACATACTAATTAATTTCTTTACTACAGTATCTCTCCAAAACTGCAACTGCCAGTACATTTTATTTTATTTTATTTTTATTTATTTATTTATTTATTTTTGGTACTGGGGATTGAACTCGGGTTCTTGCACTTGCGCAGCAGGCGGCAAAACCACTGATCTAAATCCCCGGCCCTGCCAGTAGATTTTAAAACAAAGGTATCCCCCTTGCTTTCATCTTAGCATGTAATTATGGAGTGATATAATAGTGTGGCTACTTGTTTTAAATTTTTCCCCACAAAACTATTGAAGAACAAATAAAATACAGTAAGTCACACATATTAAAGGTCTCCAGTTCATAAGTTTTGACCTGTCAACACCATGAGCATTCCTCAGACATTTCCTCTTGCCTCTTTGTAACCCATCCCTCTGTCCTCCATTCCCTTGTGTTATGTCTGTCATTATGGATTAACTGCATTTTATACAATTTTTGTACGACTAGCATCATACTTTAAGTATTCTTTTTGGCTTGGTTTCTCTAACTTTGCATGATGACTTTGAGACATTCCCAAGTTATATGTGCCATCCAGAGTTGTGTCTTTTTGCTACTGAATGGTGTGGATATATCATAGTTTGTGAAATGTGTACCTTTGGTAGACATTTGGGTTGTTCCACTTTTCAATTTTTGACTTTAAATAAGTGTGCTATAAATAAGTTGCTACAAATAAGTGTGAGTCTTCCTATGGGCACATTTTCTCCTGAGTGATTATCCCGGACTGTAATGGCTTACTCATGGTAGGGATGGATATGTGTATCACTTTAAGAAAATATAAAACTGGTTTCTAAAGTGGATACATAACATACTCTACTAAAAGTCCTTTCCTGTGTGAAAGTTTCAGTTGTTTTTTTCCTCACCCTTACTTAGAATAATTAGTTATTTTAAATGTTAGCTATTTCAACAGGTGTGATATCTGGTAGGTATCCCATTGTGATTTATGGTTTATACTCTGAAATCAAGTCCAATGTGTGACATATATGTTGTGAATTTTCCCCCAGTCTTTGACTTACCTTAAATAATGTTTTTCAAAGAGTGTAAGTTTTTAATTTTGTTGAAATCTAGCACTGGAATTTTTTCACTTATGTTCCATTGTTTTTATATTCTGTAGAAGAATTTGGCCCTTCTGAGATTGCAGACATTGTTCTCTGTTTATCTTCTGCGTTTACAATTTCATAGTTTTAGTTTTTACTTTTGAGTTGTGTGTTCAAGTTAATGTTTGTTTAGTGTGAGATAAAAGTCAAAGTTCATTTTTTCTATACAGACACACAGTTGATTCAGCATCATTTGTTGAAGGGACTTTCTTCCATAGATTTCTTTGGCACTTCTGTCAAAAATCAAATGACCACATATGTGAACTCTGATTTCTTCCATTCACCTATAAGACTATCATTTTGCCTGTAATAACTTGTCTTCATTAGTATAGGTTTGTGTTGTTTTGAGACAGGGTCTTGCTTTGTAGTACAGACTGGCCTTGAACTCACTGTGTAGCCCAGGCTGGCCTTGAAGTTGCACTGATCCTCCTGCCTCAGCCTCCTGAGTGCTAGGATTACAGGTGTGCACCACCACACCCTACTAGTATAGATTTATAGGAAGTTTTAAAATCATTAAAGGAAGTGTCAATTTCCCTCTTTGTTTTATTTTTTTAAATTGCTTTATTTTAGGTTGTGATTTGTATAAATTATTTTTTTTATTAGTGGCATGTTTTTGGTATAAAATGATCAGTTCTTCTTGGAAGTTGATACATGTACCACCGTATCCTAATTCTTTCATCCCTTTCACCTCCCTTTTCTCCTACCTCCTTCCATTTCTTGATCCCCTTCCCTTTTGAGATTTATCTTCCTATTACCTATCTTTTATTTTGCTCTTTATTGATATTTTGGGTTTCTTGTATAAGAGAAACTATGTGATATTTCAGCTTGTGCACCTGATTTATTTCAGTTAACCTTATGATCTCAAGATGCATCCATTTTCCTACAAATGAGCCAGGTTTGTCCTCCTTATGGCAGAGTAGTACTCCACTGTGTCCAAATACCACCTTTTTTTTCTTTTTTTTTTTTGCAGTACTGGGGATTTAACTCAGGACCTTGTGCTTGTGAGGCAGGCCTGGTGCCACTGAGCTAAATCCCCGGCCCTTGTACCACATTTTCTTTATCCATTCATCTGTTGATGGTCATATACGCTGCTTCTAATATTTAGCTATTATGAATTGTGGTGCTATAAACATAGCTATGCATGTATCACTGTAATATGTCCTTAACTCTTTGGGGAAGATATCCAGAAGGAGAATAGCAGGGTTGAATAGAATTTCTAGTTTTAGTTTTTTGAGGAATCTCTATGTTACTTTCCATAGTGATTGTACTAGTTTACATTCCCACCACCAATGCAGAAGAGTTCCTTTTTCCGCCCTTTTTCTGTGCAGTCATGCCAGCATTTGGTATGATTTGATTTCTTAATGATAGCTATTCTTTCTGGGATAAGATGAAATCTCAGTGTTGTTTTAATTTTCATTTCTTTAAAGGACAGAGGTGTTGAACATTTTTTCATGTATGTATTGGCCATTTGTACTTCTTTTTTAAAAGTGTCTATTCATTTCACTTGCCCTTTTTTTTTTTTTTTTTTTGGTACCAGGGATTGAACTTGGGTCCTTGCACTTTCAAGACAGGTGGCATAACCACTGAGCTAAATCCCTGGTACTCACTTGCCCATTTTTTGATTGGATGTTTTATTGGGGGCATCTAATTTTTTTTTGAGTTCTCTATATATTTTAGATATTAGTTTTTCTCTGAGGAATAGCTGGCAGTTTGGGGGTTTTTTTCCCCATTCTGTAGGTTATCTTTTTACTCTGTTGGTTGTTTCTTTTGCTGTGCAGAAGTTTTTAAATTTGTTTTGATATTGTTTCTTGTGCTACAGGGTTCTTTTCAGAAAGTCCTTGCCTATACCTACAACTTCCAAGACTTGTACCTATTTTATCTTCGAGTAGATTGTTTCTGTTACTACATTTAGATATTTGATCAGTTTTGATTTTAGTTTAGTACATGATTGGATATATGAGTCTAGCAGTGAATCCATCCAGACCTGGGCTTTTCTTAGTTGGTGGATTTTTTTATTACCGCTTCAATTTCATTGCCTGTTACTGTATTTTCAAGGTTTTTAAATCTTCTTGGTTCAGTTTTGGTAATTCATATGTATATAGGAATCAAATCATTTCTTCTGAATTCTCAAGGTTATTGATGTACAGGTTGTGAAGTAATTGTTAATAATCTTTTATTTCAGCATTGTCTGCTGTGATGTTACCTTTTTATTTCTAATTGCATTGATTCAGATCTTGTCTCCTTTTTTTTGGATAAGATTGGCTAAGAGTTTGTCTATTTTGTGTATTCTTTTGAAAAACAAGCTCTTAAATTTGTTGGGTTTTTTGGTTTTTTTTTTTCAGTCTCAACTTCATTGATTTCTGCCTTGATATTTATAATTTTTTTACTTGTACTGCATTTGGGTTTGGATTGTCCTTGTTTTTCTAGGTGTATCGTTAGGTTATTTGGATTCACTTTTGTTTTATAATGTGGGCATTCATAGCTAGGACTGCTTTCATTGTATTCCATAAATTCTGGTATGTTTTACAGGCATATTGTTTAGTTCTAGGAACTGCTTTTTATCTTCCTTTATTTCTGTTACCCATTGATTATTCAAGACTGAATTTAATTTTCATATGTTTGCATATTTTGTTTTCTTTTGTCATTGATTTTTAGTTTCATTATGCTATGATCTGATAATATTCATTGTATAATTTTGATTTTTTTTGTACTTAAGCATGCTTTATTGGCTAGTATATGGTCTATTTAGGAGAATGTTCCATGTGCTGCTGAGAAGAATGTGTATTCCATTGTTGTTGGGTGGAACACTCTGTAATTACCGGTGTATTGTGTCCTCCATTTGTTTTAGAGATTTTTTTCCAGTTCTGGTATATCTTTAATTTTTTTTGTTTTTGTTTAGTTGATCTGTCTGTGACAGTGGGGTATTGAAGTCCCTCTTTAAAATTGTGTTTATATCTGATCCTGTAGGTCCAATAGTACTTAACTTTATGAAGTTTGGTATGCTATTGTTCAAAGCATATATGTTAATAATTGTTTTCCTGTTGAATTGTTCCCTTAACCAATATTCAGTGACCTTCTTTGCCTCTTGTGATTAGTTTTGGCTTGAAATCCACTTTGAAAATGTGGTAGCTACATGTACTCTTTTCAGGTTACTGTTTCATGAAATATTGTTTTCCATCCTTTGATTTTTAGTCTCTATGAATTTCCTTTTGGGTTAAATGTGTTTCTTGTGTAGGCATACTGTTGGAGTTTATTTCTTGATCCATTCTGCCTGTGTCTTTTGATTGGGGAATTGAGACCATTCACATTGAGAGTTATATCTGAGGGGTGTTAACTTATTCCTGTCATTCCATTATTTTCATGTTGCTGATTCCCTTTCTTTCCTTCTTATTTAACTGGTAAGTCTACCAGGTGCATTAACTCTATAAGACCTTTTGGCATTGTTAGCTTTCTTGTCTCCTTCTAGGATATCCTTGAGAATTTTTTGAAATGCCTGGTTTGGTGGGCATGAATTTTTTAAGTGCTCTTTATCATGGAAATACCTTATTTCATCATGAATTTTGAAAGATAGTTTTGGGGGGATATATTAGTCTGGGTTGGAATTTGTTTTCTTTTAAGGCTTGAAACACTTCACTCCATGCTCTTCTGGCCTTTAAGGTTTGTGTTGATAAGTCCGCTGTAATTCTAATGAGTTTACCTTCATAAATGATTCATTGCTTTTCTCTAACAGTTTTTAAGATTTTATTCTTATGTTGTACTTTGGGGATTTTATCTATCATATGTCATGGAGAGCTTCTTTTCTGATTCTGGTTGTTTGGGGTTCTACATGCCTCATTTATCTATATCTTAAATTATTTATTCATATAGTATTTAGAAAGTTATCTGCTATTATTTCTGTAAACAGGTATTTTTATACCCTTTGTGCTATCTTCTGATTTTTCACCAATTCCAGTTAATCTTAGATTAGGCTTCTTTGAGTCATCTAGGAACTGTTGGATCAGTTTTTTATGTTTTCTTATTTTCAAGTTATCTCTGATTAATTGATCAGCAACAGTAGCCCTGTCTTCTAGTTCTGACACTCTGTCCTCACATTGGTCACTTCTACTGCTCACACTTTTCATAGAACTTTTAATTTCCTAAATTTCTGTTTGGTACCTTTTTATGGGTTCTAATTCTCTTCTGTGCTGATCATTCATGTTTTGTTTCATTTTGGTTAGCTCAGCTAGCTTTTTATTAGTGTCTTCTGTAGACTTACTGATCATTTTATTAGGCCCATTATCTCTTTGGTTATACTGTATCTTGTTTGAGCTCACCAAACAATTTACTGATCTGTTTTGTTATCTCATGTGTTACCCTTTTGAATAATTCAGCTGTGTGGCTTTTGATTTTCCTCTTCTCCAGTGCCTCATGGATCAGCTTCAGCTCATGTTTCTGCATTTTTTGTTTGATTTTCTTGTGCTTGTGGCTTGATTATAGTGGAAAGGTTTATTGCTATAGTAAGAGACCTCTTTAGTTAATGTCTTTTTCAGCCATGCTTTCTGGGCATAGCTAACTATTGGCTTTTACTTCTGTCCCAAAATCTAGCCACCTTCATTTATTTGGAGACTGCAGTGTATTTGGCCCAGCACCAGTTCTCCAGGAATGAGCCACTGTACAGTTTAATGGCACAAAGGCAATCTAGATTCTGTGGCATGCAGAGAAAACCAGTTAAGTAACAACAACTATGTCACATTGGCTACAGTGATAAAATCACCAACAATAGTAGTGTCAGATATAAACTGGATATTGACATACCCTTCAAAATCAGTAATATACCACCCTTATTCATTGAAAAGAGATCTATATGGCCGGGGATTTAGCTCAGTGGTTCCACTGCCTGCCTTATAAGCGCAAGGTCCTGAGTTTGATCCCCAGTACCAAAAAAAAAAAAAAAAGAAAGAAAGAAAAGAGATCTGTAATTGCAGTATGAACATGAAGACAAACTAAATATTGACCTACAGTCAATATCTTCTAAATGAAACAACTTTACCTTCACTGAAAGAAGTGTTCAGCAGTAATAGCATAAAGTTAAGTAGCAGTCCAAAAATTCATAAAGCTTAGTAGTTATTCTAGTAACAATTGAGGAGGTGGGGAACTGGAGAATGAAAAAAGTAAAATTTGAAAAATTAATGGAAGAAAAGGAGGAGAGAAAAGTATGATAGGGCATCCTATAGATTTATGTAAATTTTAGTGTCAGCTTCTCAGTTACTACCCAAAATTTGCTGGGACTTGATTGATTTTGCCTTGTGTCTGTGGCTGAACATAGACGCTTGCCATCTCTACTGTCCACTCTGCCACCCTGCGAGTAGGGGGAGCTCTTTATGATGTCGTTGTTTGAGCTGTCTCCACAGTGTTTCAGAGGGTTCCGTGTAGAGGTCTTTGTATCTCTTTTGTTAATTACAGATGGTATAGAATAAAAGAGCTTGCTTTCATTTTATGGCTTTTTACCTGAAAAACTAAGAAGTTATATTCATTTAGAAAAACTAGTAGATCCATAATTTTATGAAGATAGCCCAATTTTCAGCTGAAAAAGACAGAGAAACAGATGTTTTCCTCACATTAAAATTATAATAAAGAATACAAAATTGTTTAAATGTACATGAACAGAGTTCAGGGGAAGTGAGACAGTGGAGCAGAGTACTCAGTGAGAGTACGACCAGAGATGACTGCAGCGCAGGCTCAGGGTGATACCTGATCCCAGCACCGGAAGACCAGGGAGTGGGAGGTTATAGTAATCACAGATGAATGTTTAAAGTTGGATTGGAAAGAAAAAACTGGATTGCAAGTTTTCCTTTTGGATCATAGTGTTATCAGCCAGCTAGAGGAATACTGACCAGGATGTGGGTGAATATTAACTGGCAGGTATGAGACATAGCAGAATGCATTTTTTTTTTCTGTGAAGAAAAAGTACTTGAGGTAGAGGATATTCTGGTACATGTTCCTCTTGGTAGATAAGTGGGAAGCAGAGAAGAGTTCTGTTTTAATGCTGGGCTTTATGAAATACTTGTTCAGAAGTATGCACCTATGGGAGACATAATTTACCTATAGAAAAATTAAGTTCATAGATGTGGTGGATTTTATAATTGTTCTTTATACTTAAAATTGGTTAGTAACTGTTATAAAATGTTTTCTAAGTGAAAATCTCAATAAAATGGTAGTGTAGACAGTGTCTGGGTTACTGAGCAGAGGCCTCATGCTCTTCTAGCTGTGTTCCATGTTGAGTTGTGAACATGGAGAGGGATCTTTAAGAATGCCTGTTGCTCATGTGTTTGTCAGAGGAATGTTTTTCTTTCGGTGTATAATCTGTCTGCTAACAATCAGTTCCCTAAAATTGCGTATCTTTTGGTATGTGATAATGAATTTGTGATAAGTAATTTGAGGCTGTTTTTTATTAATGAAAATCAGAAAGTAAAAGAAGACCCTTGATCAGGAATTTGAAGTTATAAAAGCCTAACTCTTGGGCTTTTACTGACAGCCTCTTTTGAGGCCTCTGTTGATTTCTTCTGAGAAACTTCTCTAGTTTAGATTTTATACACTGTTATTTTTTGACCAATTCTCTTTTTCAAGCTTAGGCAGTACAGATCAAGATTTGTTTGATATTTTTACCCTGAATTAGAAATTCTGTATTTTCTTACCCTGCCACCTCATAAACTGAGGCTGCTTCATATTCTTCACTCATTTTTTTATATATTCAATTAATTATTCAGTAAATACTTTGTCATCCCATTTATTAGATACTGTGCTAGAATACAAAAATAAGAGTTGCCTTTAAAAGAGCGTATAAAAAGGAAGACAAAAGGTTAAGAAATAGAATACAAACAAGGACTTCTAAACTAAAAGAGAGGTCAAGAAGGCTGACAGAGAAGTAGTACTTGAGCTGCAGAATGCATGGACACTGTTCTGGCATGAGAGGTAACCAGAGGGATCTTGGAAGCACAAAGTATGTGGCGTCCATGGACTCCGGTCTGTGGACTCTTGAGTACTTCCCCTGTGCCATGTCTCTGAAGATATATGACAAAGATTGAGGTGAAAGAGATGAACTGAGGTCAGAGCCTGGGGTAGTATGTGTTCTAAGCCAGAAGGCTGAATTTAATACAAAGCACTAATGAAGAAAGATTTGTTAGCACAAAGTGTGCTTAATAACTTTATCTTTTTAGAGTAGTTAAAAGCATTGTCATGAGGAATTGCAGGGTTCTACAGAAGCATCCAATCCATTTGACCTGTGTGCATGATGATAGGTTTTGCTTGCAAGGTCTAAACACTTTTATGTTGACTACAGGCTGGGAACAATGACTTGATTTTTTCCTCATGTTTTCTTTTTTTGTTTGTTTGTTTTTTGGTACCAGGGAATCAAACCTGGGTCCTTGCGCTTGTGCAGCAGGCGGTGAAACCACTGAGCTAAATCCCCGGCCCCTCCTCATGCTTTCTGTAGTCATGCTGTGGTTTGTTGCCACTGGATTAGAATGAAGAGGAGAGGATAGTGCAGGCTGTGCAGAATGGACATGTGTTGTTGACCACTGCCTCTCTAATGCAATCTTTTCTTTCTTAAGTGATTAAGCAAAAAGTTTGGTTACAGTAAAAACAATGAAAAGTAGCATAGTATAATTAATTAAAAGTACAGTGAACACAAATTGTTAAAACAGTTGCTTAAAAACAGTTTTTGAATGAATGGTCATAAAATGCATATAAAATGTCTGCTTAAAATTTAATCATAAAGATAGATCATCTACAAGGAAATCTGTGCTATTTGTTGTGTGGTAAGTATTCTAAGAACTGGTATTTATGAAAGTACTTTAAAGAAGTTGCAATTAGTAATAAAGATGTATCCTAAAGAAATTACTTAGAGGTTAACCGTTATAGTCTTTACATGTAAAATTTGTCATAAGTAAATAAAAATAATCAGACTAGTTCTTGTTAAGGATCCGATGAACAAAACCTGCCAAACAGCTAGCTTTTATTAATTTTTTTTGATTACTAATGGGAATTTGCTTTATCAGTTTAATTCTACAGTGGGTTATTTATTCATTCAAAAACCAAAAATTTTCTTAATATTTGCTAAGTTACTTTTTAGGTATACTCACTATTGACTATTTTTCTTTTAGGTTATGCTTCCTCCTGGAGCCCAGCATTCTGATGAAAGAGGTGCTAAAGAAATTATTCTAGATGATGATGAGTGTCCTTTACAAATCTTTAGGGATTGGCCAAGTGATAAAGGTAAAGAGTAAATTTACTTGTTAAAGGATTACATATGTAATGTGTCTTAATTTCTATATGATATACCAGTTGTTTTATCAGATGATGTAGGAGATGTGAACATTAATGTTTTCTGATAGCTCTTTGATGTACTGTTTCCCATTCCTACACAGACTTACTAGGGTGGCTCCTCAGTGGTCTCTGTAGGGCCACACTCAGCTCCCTGAGTCTTGGGCACAGATTTTGCCCAGATGGTTAACACTGGGGGTAGAAACCACATCTTAGGAAGAAGCCACACTAACAGTGGAAGGTTGTTACCTATCAACAGTGATGCTGGCCAGAACTGTTGTGAAATTTGGACAGATTTGTTATGGTAGGGAAAGGAACACCCTAAAGATTGTAATGATTGGGACCAGAAGTGTTTCCGATTTTGGATTTAGATTTTGGAATATTTGCGTATACGTAATGAGATATCTTGGAGGTGAGATCTAAGTCTAAAAATGAAATTCATTTATGTTTCATGCACACCTTATGCACGTAGTCTGTAGTTAACTTTTACTATGCCAATATTATGTCTACTACATATCATATGAGGTCAGTTTTCCATTTGTAACATGTTGCCAGTCAAAAGTTTTGTAATTTGTAGCATATCACGTTGCATATTTGTGGATTAGGGATGCTGAACTTGTAATGAAGTCATACTTGGCACTATTCAGTTTTCTCTATTTCAGAGCAGTAGAGTTTAAAACTGTTCAATGAAATAGTGTTTTAATTTTCACTTTAGTATTGCTTTGAATTCTGAGTTAATTCAGTTGAATTAAATAAAAATAAAGTCAAATAAGATGTATTTGTATATATATTTTTGTGGTAATGTGTTGTGAATATGTTCATTGATCATAAAATTATGAATATAAGATTCATTTGTTCTTAAACTTACGTTGTTTACAAGCATATGATATAGCTCACTGTTAATTAAAAAAACTCTTTGCAGATAGTTTGCTGGAGTTTTTAGAGCACTCCAAGGGACTACTTCCTTCATTGAGTCAAAGTACAAATTGGGTGACCTTTTCTCACTTTTCAGCAGATGTTAAGAAGTTTCATCCTGGCAATGTGTGAGCAATTGACTGCCGCTCAACTGGCCATACATACCAGCCCATCTGGTTAATGATTCCCAATGTTACTATTCTAGGGATTTTAGTCTTTCAGTTGAAGAGGAGGCCACCAGACTACATCCCAAAGAAAACAAAGAAACACATTGAAGGAAAGACACTGAAGGGGAAGGAGAGAGCTGATGGATCTGGCTATGGCTCTGCTCTCCCCCCTGAGAAGCTGCCCTATTTAGTAGAATTAAGCCCAGGTAAGAAAGCTGGTTATATTAAAGTACATTTTTAGCTTTTAATGTTTCTACTTTTTAATTCATCTTAGAAGTATCCTGTTGGCTGAATTAACATTTTTAGACTTTTTTTTTTTTTAAGTAACTTTCATTTACTTAAAAAAAAAAAAACCTATGGTCATATAATACATGTATTCATGTATAAGAATAAAATTCTCATGGACAAAGTTGCAGAGAAACATTTAAGATAATGTATAGAGTGTTTTAAGAGAGGTTTAGGTGATGATTCATTTCTTTTTAAGAAAACATTTCCAAAATAACTAGCACCAGGCACAGTGGGCGCATGCCTGTAATCCCAGCACTCAAGAGGCTGAAGCAGGGGGATCACCGAGAGTTTGAGGCTAGCCTGGGCTACATAGTGAGTTCAAGGCCAGCCTGAACTGCATAGTGAGACTCTGTCGCAAAAAAAGCAAAACAAAATCTTGAGCAATATAGTTAACCTGCTAAAAACAATGAACTGAAATTCACTTCTTCTAAGACAGATTTAATAGAAGTATATGTGTGTAGGGGAGGGTCGTATTATTGTTTCTAATATATGAACAGTCTCCAAAAGGAATGTCTTTAAGTTTGACAGTACATCTAAAAAAATCCATCTTAATAAGTGAAAGCCTATTTGATTTTTTTATATAATAAGACTAAATTTATTTTCATATTAGGCGTCTGCATATATCATTTGTAGAACTCTTCTAAGCTGCTGTTGTCTTAAGCTGACCGTCAGGTAGAGAAATACATTGACATTCTTAAAGAAGTGCTTTTATACGCGAATAAATATACATATATATACATACATATACTGTATTGTGTACATTTGCATTGTGTTATCTATTACATATTTCTTTATCATTTACCAAAATCTCATTTCTTAAATTATATGTGTGACCTGTTATGATGATAATGTGCCATCTTCCCCACCTCAAACTACATTTAAAATAAATCCCAGTTTGTAATTACAGAAAAACTAGCATAAAAATAAATCAGTTATGTAGATAATATGTTGTTCCTTGAGCAGGAGCTATGTTTTTCTCTTCTTAGATTCCTCAGTGTTTATTTTATTTCCAAGACTGATTTAGTTTCTTATAGCTGATTATTATAGTTAAGGATTAGAAACAGTGTTTCCAACAGTCTTATGAAGTAGCTGGGTTACACTGATGTAGAATGGCATAGCTATGTTTTGATGCTATTCTGATTAACGGTGGCAGTGTAGCCCTGGGTAGTAGCTGTTTGTGAATGATAGTAGCCATGCTTTGCCCCTCAGTTCTGTGACTGGGAGTTTATGTGAAGTTTTACTTTCTCACTGTAGTTTGGAAGCATGTGTCAGTATTGTGCTGTGTGTATATAGTGTGAAAAAGGGTTTTTGCTTGTTTGTCTGAGGAAAGGAACTGCAACAATGATACAGCCATTGTTTTTGAGCTTAAAAAAATTCAGGAACTTTTTTGGACATTAGACCTGTCCTTTAAATTTTTGCATTAAATGCTGGAAACTAATGATTGGTTTCTTCAAATCCAGATTTTTAAGATTGAAGGGTATAACTCAAACAAATTGATAAATAGTAACATTTGATCTTCAAATGAATAATGGAAAGTTTGATTTTGTTGGCTAGCAGAGAGAGACTGAACATTCATTTGACAAATGCTTAGTACTTTGTGTCAAACATTGTTCTGAGCCTTAGAGATGGAACACTGACAAAGCAGATTGTCTCTGATCTCACACTACTGAGAATTTCCATTTTGGCTGTTTAGTCCGTAATTGTATTCTCTGAGATAATCAATATGTAGAATTTTTGGTAGGTGTGGGAAGATGCTAGATCCGATCCTAGATAATTAAATTTTAACTGCTTTTCACCATATATGGGCAACACCACAAACCATATGCTTACTAGAACATTTCATGGCATTTTGCTCTCTTCAGTCAACACTTACTGAGCTCCTACTGCAGGTCAAAGCAGTAGATGGCAAAGGCAAGTAATTGTCCCTGACATCAGGTAATCTACACACCAAGAAGTAATCCCAGCACTGTCTGTAGTCCACACTCAGGAGTTCTCTGGGTAGCATGTGGGACTTTTCCTGCTGTCCACAGATGCCTATGGGCGATACAGAGCTCTTCTGCTCTCCTAAGGGCAGAGGCTGGTGACAGGCCTGAGCGCTAGCTGAGGACTCTCTTGCACCAAAGCCATGTCCTTTCATTAAGATATGATGTCTGTGTTTTTATTATTAACTACTCAAAATCAGCATGCTGAATAAATTGATCTATTTTCCATTTATGAGAAAATATTTCTGCATTTGATAAATTGTGAATGGATTTGTGAGATATTTTCATTGGACACATTGTCAACGAAGTAATAAGTGATGAGGTCCTGCCCAAGTGGGATAGGAGATTTCTGAGGAGTGGGTATGTGCTTACACTGTCTTTTGGAGGAATGGGAGCAGAATGCTACTTTGTTCTTTGCGTTTGATCTGAATGTGTTCTTTAAGCAGAAGTCAGCCAGGTGGGGTGATAACCTTCTATATGGTTAACTCCCTCTTGCTGTCCTATTGCTTGGCAACTCACCTATTGTCCTACTGTTTTCCCTAACAGTCTGCACTGGTTTCTAAAACACTGACTGTAGTCTTGTCCGCACAGCTCTGAAAGCTGACGGGTAAAATGTACCTTTTCTTCCTTTGAGACCTGTCTCACTGAAGCTTACCCTCTGCGTCTCTTCTCCTCCTTCCCTCTCCCACGTGTTCTTCATGGTCTCTGTCCTGCTGATGCTGCCTTCACCTGGGTCCTGGCATGTCTTAACCCCAGGGAGAAGGAGTCACTTTGCCTACTACAGTTATCACACTTACGAAGGTAATGCTATGCTTAATACTACTTTTGTAATTGGGGCACTAGCAGACCTCCTGGGCAAAATGATGTTGATTGACCAGATGATGTATTTATGAAACCTCAATTTACTGTTTTTTATACATACCTGTGAAGTGTCCCATGTCCAGTATTCATTTCAATTGCTGTAAGCTTATTTTGCTGCTCTTATTTTCTCAGGTTCATCCCGAGAAGCAGCTGTAGACAGAAAAGAGTTGGTGACAAAATTGTTGTAGACTGAGAACAAAGTGCCTTAAGAGTGCTTACCCTTTGTTCAAGCCCTCCGTTTCCCTTTTGCATTGAGAATACAGGCAGAACATCTCTCATCTGAAACCTTTGAGCACTGACATGACACCACAAGTAGAAAATTCCACGCCTCGCCCTATATAATAGAGTGTCAGAACACAGATGTAGTTAATGCATCATATGAAATTTCCTGCAGGCTGTGTATATAAGGTGTATGAGGTGTGATAAAAATATACAGGTGAATGTGTACATTTTAAAAATTTGTTACAGTAAAAGACACATTGCCATTAATCCTCCTCAAAGTACTGTCCCTCAGTTCAAACATGCTTATCCTATTGTTCTTGCCACTTTCTGAAGCAGTTCTGGAAGTCCTCTTTTGTAAGTGTCTTTATGAGGTGTGATTAAAAATACAGTGAATGCTGCTGCCAAGTGCCATCCAGTGGGAAAGCAAGCACATAATAGTGTGTCTTTAACTATCTGTTTACCTGATCTGGCACTATGCAACCTCTGGCTCATCCCTGAAGTCAAAATGACCATGAAAGGTAAACATTTTGAATTGATTCAGGACATCAAGGTGGCCACAACAGTGCAGCTAAAGCCACCCACTAAAGAGAATTTCCAGAACTGCTTCAGAAAGTGGCAAGAATGATAGGATATGTTTAAAGAGGATTATTATTTTGAGGGGGAATAATGACAATGTATATTACTGTAAGAAGTTAAATTTTTCCATCACTCCTTGTATATGAGGCATAAATGAAGTTTGTATTTAGATTTGGGTTCCGTCTCCAAGATACCTCATGTATATGCAAATATCCACACATCTGAAAAAAATTGGAAGTCTTAACTCGTTCTGGTCCCAAACATTTCAGGCAGGGGATGCTGTTAAAGGTACCTTTTTGGCAGAAGTGCTGTGTCAGGGGTGGGGTTACTGCAAGCTGTCTCTTGTGAAGTTGCTCCAGATGTGTTGTAGTTCTCTGCTGGAAGAAGAATGCTTAGATATTTGGGCAGAAACCCTGTTGAGGAAGGGGGAACACTGGGAATGTGTATTGAGGGAGTTTTACTGCTTGTGTCTGTGAATGATCAAGTGCTGTTAGTTGGGGTCAAGGGCTGAATGTCACAAGAAGGGGCAGGAGGCACCAAGCACTACTGCCTCCCACTCTTCCTGCCCTTGCTTAGACCAAATGCTTTTTTCCCACTGATGCTAGGACTACCACCCAGGTCTCTGCATTCTACACAGACTTTATCTCTGCTTTTTTATGGAAGTGCAGTGGTGAGGAAGAGGAGACTAGGAAAGCAGCTTGTGATCCTTCCTTCTCTCATATTTCTCAGTCTAACAGCCCTTTGTAATTCCCAGGAGACCTTTCAGTAACATTCAGATTTCAGGGGACTATTAATGTGAAATTTTCTTTCACCACCCCCCCCCCCGACATAGCTTTCTTTTGTGTTCTTATATTTTTAACTTTGCATTGAAATAATTGATCTTGTTTCAGACATGGTTACTTATTTGCTCCTTTTCTTTCTTCATAATTTGTGTAGTTTCCGTGTAACTCAGGTGTTACTTGGTTTTCTTCATTTTTAGTGTAGTCACTGTAAACATATTAAGTCTTTTATTGTCTATGAACTGTAGACCACACGTTGAAAGCTGTGATCAGGGGAAGCCTAGCCACACAAAGCTCAGAGGTGAGGGGCAAAAATCTATAGAATCCTCGAAAAATGTAGTTCATGGTGCTGAGACACAGTGGATATGTGGCACTCTGAAGGATAGAAGAGGGGAGGTTGAAGAGAACTGCCATGGTGCTTAAAACAAAATAGTGGGCATTCCAGGAGGAGAAGGGAACTGCCCATGTTCATGAAAAGCCCCAGATGATTTTGATATCTCATTTGGATCAGGACTTTGTAACAGCACTGAAAATAAATATTCCAATGGAAGCAACATAGACGGTGAATCAGTTTTGGGGTGGATGTTAGGCATTGGTGTCTCTGAAATACTTCAGTGTCATCTTGCCTTTCCCTAGATGTCACAGATTCCTGAAATAATTCAGAAATAGAAATTTTTGTCCTTAGAATGTTACTTTGTATTACTCTGAAAACTAACATCAGTTGTAAGAAATGGTGAATTTATCATGTGTTTTGTCTTTTAGAGTTCAGACACACTAGGACTGAGAGAACTTGGCAGTCAGACTGTAGATGCCCATGCCTTCCAAAATGTTTATCCTCTGAGACTCTCGTAGCTTACATGCCTGATGCCAGTGACTCCTGATTTTAATGAGTGACTCTGAAAGTTACGCGGGCAGTCATGAAGTAGGTCAGGGAGACTTTCATTTGCCTTTTAAGGAAGCTGTATACTTGCCGTGGTACAGTTGAAGTCTGAAATTGTATCGGAATTCTTGGATTCTGCCAAGCATGTTTTCTTATAGATTAACTGTAAAATCAGAGCGGCTGAGTAGAGAGGGAGCATGTTCAGTGTTAGTAGAGACAGAGGCCCAGCGGTGATGCTGTTTCTTCATTTCCTCCCACCCCTTCTCCATAGAAAGTCATTCTACAAACTAAAACTCCCAGCAGTTCAGAAAGGTTTAAAGTGACAGAAACCCAAACAAAGACAGTATTCCTTCCTTTCATCCCAGTTCTACTCAAGTGAGCTAAGCACTTTGCCAGCAATTTTTCCTCAGCCATGGACTTTAGAGTCATTGGAAGAATTGTTCAGAGAAGATCTGCCTAGTCCTCATCCTGCGGATGGTATTCCAGGAGGGCTGGGTGCTGTGAGAACTCCACAATAGGAACTTCCACCTTTGATTTCACTGTGCCCCACCAGCTATTTTGTGCTGAGGGTGCACATGCCTTTCATGGTATTATATTACTAATATGATTGCACCTCAGAATCATCAGAGAAGATCCAGGGCAGCATGTAGAGAAAATTTCCTTTTATGTAATAAGAAAATGTTGGAATTAGTAATAGTCTTAGCACTTTATATTAAACAGAAGCTGGTGTGCATATTTCTTTGAAGATTGTGTATCCAGTTTGTTGAACTATATGATGTAAGTTGGAGTGTTCTCTAAAAGAAATCCTGAAAACTGTAGCATCATTTTTATTAAAGTTTTATTTCAAGTAACATGACAAGAACATCGAGCTGCAAGTGGACTGCAAATGGAGCTCTCTTCCTTCTCTTCTCACAGATGGCTCTGACTCGAGAGACAAGCCAAAGCTTTACCGCCTTCAGTTGAGTGTGACTGAAGTTGGGACAGAAAAGTTTGATGACAACTCTATCCAGGTATGTTATCAGGCTTTAGTGTGAACCTCTTGCTGTAGTTGTACATGTTCAGTAGGGAGCACAAAGTAGAGAACCTGTCACAAGGAACAAACGAATAAATCAAAATAACAGACCTTACATTTAACTATAGATAGTTCATCTATTCTGAGTCACTCTGCTTTAGTGTGGAAAGAACAGTGTATGTGTTTATGTCTGAACTCACCCTCCAGAAAGTTGGCTTGGTTATGACACTCCTATAGGCTCTTTACTTTTTCAATCCAAGAAGATGATAGCAATTTACAGATCTGCCTTAAGATGGGGAAGTTCTATTGCTGAGTCACCCATAGCAATAAGCCTTCAATAAGACCTAGGTAAATATAATTCTCAAGTGCTTCAAATAGCTTGACACTTGTCTTTGAAGATGTGAAATCAGGATTTGTCACTTTGAACTCAGGTAAATCATCTTTGCTCTTTACTTCTTATTTCTCAGTTGTAAAATGATAGGGTTTTTAGTTCTGTGATTCTTTCATTGTTAACATGGCAGTAAAACAGATTAAGTAGAGATGTTTTAATCATAAAAATTTGTATAGATTGGTCTACTAATTATGTTTAAGATGACCATCAACGTACGCTTTTTGCATTTTTTCTGTGATGCTGGGAGTGAACTCAGGGCCTCATTCATGGTAGACAACTGCTTTACCACTACACTACACACGTACCTTGATCATATGCCATTTTTTTTGTTTTGTTTTTGAGACCGAATCTCACTGCGTAATTCAAGCAGGCCTTGAATTCACTATGTAGCCCAGGCTGGCCTTGAACTCACGGCAGTTCTCCTGCCTCAGCCTCCTGAGTGCCGGGATTACAAGTGTGTGCAGGCATGATCATATGATTTTTAATGCAAAGTTGGAATATGCCTTAAATCAAGTTACTACTAGATGCTAGAAATGTCTTACATATTTTGACAGTATTTTGATAGTGCTTACTTACTTTGCAAAGTGTGATAAAAATACACTGAATGTTTAAATTTTTAAGAAAATATTTTATAGCAAAGACATACTGCTACTATCACATTTCTGCCTCCTTGAACCAATGGTGATATGTGCATGACTGTCCCATCAGGCAACTTGTACCATTTGTGGTACAGTCTAATAACTTTTATTGGTCTTTTTACTAACAAAATTAATTTTAAAAAGCAGCCAGATGGGACAGTCATTTATGTACTATCAGTGGTTCAAGCCACCTGGCAGCAAGACACATGAATTACAATCCCATTGTGAGCATGTTAATCCCCTCCAAACACTTCCCCTTGCTTCAAACACACTTACCTCATCATTCTTAGCAGTGTATCTTTTCCTGTAATAAGTTTTCTTTAGTTTAAATATTCATTGTATTTTTGATCACCCTTTATATCATATTGAGTGGGATGTCCACTTAAAGCATCAAGAGTCCAGGGCTTATTAAATTGTATTATTATAAAAGAGGAACTCAAAATTTTTAATTTCTGTTTTTAAATATCATGACTTCAAAATGGGAATGTCTTTAATTTCCTTCTATTTTTAGTTGTTTGGCCCAGGAATTCAGCCCCATCACTGTGATCTCACTAACATGGATGGAGTGGTCACTGTGACCCCAAGAAGTATGGATGCAGAGACCTATGTCGATGGCCAGCGCATCTCGGAAACCACCATGCTGCAGAGTGGCATGAAAGTGCAGTTCGGGGCATCACATGTGTTCAAGTTTGTGGACCCCAGCCAGGACCACAGTCTTGCAAAGAGATCTGTGGAAGGAGGCCTGATGGTCAAGGGCCCAAGACACAAACCTGGGTGAATATGATGTAGATCAGCCTTTTTAGAGTGTGTTGACCAAGAGTAATTTGAATTAGGTGTAGATGTCTGGATTTTTAAATTTTGTTTCATTTCTTTAAAAATCAAAGTGGTTTTATGATTTTGGCATTTATCCTTGTTAATTTGGATAAGTTTTAGAGGGAAAAAGAAGGATCTTAATTTCACCTTGAAATTGGAAGTTTAGTTACCAAGTTTTTTAAATGTTTTATTGAAGGGGTTTTTCTCCCCCTGTAACTCATGGCAGTACACCCTAAGATCTCTTGAGGAATTTAGAATATTTTAGCTCCACCTAGTGCTTTTGTGAGGTAATGTGTGAACAGTGTGGCCACTTAACTGGGAAACTTGTGGGAAGGAATGACTTGCCTTTTAGTAATGATAATTTTAAAAACAAACAATGGTTATTAGCTACTTTATTATCTGTCTTGCAGGTTGATAGGGTAATGATCTTGGAAAGAGCTGCAGAACTCTTTCTTTATGGTATTTCAAATTACCGAAAAATTCCACTGAAGTACAAGCTTTCTATTCAAAGAGCACAGACATAAACCAGCATGTTGGTTGGCTTTTCCACATTGCTTTTCCTGTTATTTTTTTCCAAGACTTACCTTTGTTTCCCACCAGAGCTTACACTTTGGGCCTGGTGTTAGTTACTATTTAGAACTAATGTCTTTTTCTGAGATAAACACTTGGTGGATCATAGCGTATATTCCTTTAGACAAAGGGATGTTTGCAAAGTTTATGGGCTAAGCCTGTCACCTTGAGCTACAGGAGATGATCCTGTCTCATAACTTCCCAAAGAAAACCAGCAAGCGTCTTTACTGTCTATTTAGGAAAACCCTTTCCTTTCTCTTTGTTTCATCTTTAAACTGAATGTTTCTACATTCATCATTCCATTTGTGTGTGGGACAACCAGTTTTAAAGTATTCCTTTCTTAAGGTTGTGTTTTTCATTTCATGTAATTGCTGTCCCTGTCTTTAGCTTTACGTAGGCCCTTTTTTTCAGCATAGAATCAGGTTCAGATGTTTTCCTTTTGAATTGTCAGCCTTTCTGACACCTGGGTAGGGTGAACCATGCTCACATCACAGCTTCCCCTCCTGCTTACTCCTCAACTGCTCAGGTCTGACCAAAGAGCCTCCTTTGTGGAGTGTTTTCCTCTGGTGTATTGTTTGTTGTTTTTCAGCAGTGCCTGCAGTTATGGCCTCCTGTTTACACTTGCACTTTATTGCTGCACTTAAATCTATTTTGATGTTTGTTACCTAGACGTGTTACTGCCTACATCTGCTACTGGGATTAAATGGAATTGTTGGCACAATCTCTGTCCCTCCCTGGATCAGCCCCTTCAGCTTTGCTTCGTGAAGTTTTTCTGTATGTGAGTCAGGCAGTTTCCCACTGTATTTTTGCCACATGGTTCCTGTTTGGAGGTCTACTGTTTTTCTCCTTACCATATTGTGAGCCAAAATATAAGACTATGGCTTAGATTTCAGTCAGGAGAATGTTGTGAAATTTATTATATATTTTTCTGGCAAAGCCGAAGGACACTGTGTATTGGTTGAATATATCATCCATAAATTGGAAAAAAAGCTTTTTTTAAAACCATTTTGTCTGATGTCAGATTATCAAAAAATTTCTGCATAAATACCACGTACTCTAAAATGCAGATTTTAGAATCTGCCTTCAGATCCTTGCTGATGGTTACCAGCGGATAGCAATGTTTAATGCTAATTTTCTGTTTGGGAATTTTAGGGACCTCAGATGATACCCTGACTCACATTTGTTCATCTCATCTATGTCCATTACCATGCCCTGAACACTGAAAAGAGGGAGCTGCTTCTTATAGTCAAAGGTCCTAATTCAGTAACACTAAAGTAATGTATAGAGTGACTTTAGACTTGTTCACACATCCAGAGTACAAAACAATTGAGCTCATATTAAAGCATATAAAAGGCAGCATTGGGTAAACAAAACTTAGAGCTTTACATGGTGTTATAAATTTGTTATTCTAGGATGTTAATTATAAAAAGAATAGAGAAGGCTTTGGTTATACTCATGAATTATCTCAAATGTGGCAAAGAAGATGAGCTGTCACATTTTTTTATGTCCACTATCAGAGCAAACAGCTGAACTGAATCTCGTTTAAATTAATAGGAGCTGGCAGAGCAGCTCCTATTTTTCTGAACATCTTGATAACAGATGATGAGTATTTAATATTTAAAAATGATATATTTCATAAAATTGTGTGCAGAAAATTGATTATTTAGTCTTTAATAAAAGCTTTTCAGTATTAAAGCATAGTATTATTTTCCATTGTAATATAGTTTTATTTTCTTAGTGATGAGGTAGGATGTATCTGCTTTTCTAATTTGACAGACTGAATTCAATACCATTCCTTGTTTCATTATATAGATTGAGCTTCAGTAAGTTTCAAGTACCAGGGTACTTTGAAAATTAGACCATGTATTTTTGAAATATTAGAACAAAAGATATGTCATTCTTTTTTATTATTGTGCATAGTGGCCCAAGAAATTTAACCGTTGATTCATCCTGTTTGGTTTCCAGGTGGCTTTAGGGTTCTTTTTTTTCCTTTGTTTGAGATGAGTGCATTGCATTTATGCCAAAAATGTAGCTTATCTAAGCTTTTTTACTCTTCAAAATGAGATTTTTGTTTGTATTCTAAGCTTTTTTTCCCCTAATGATACAGTTTTATTTCATTAGGAAGTTTTTGAGATATTTTAAAAAATTGTTCAAACTAAGATATCTCTGGATTGACTACTAACATTATGAAAAGCTTCCGTTTCCTTGTTGTAGCCTAAGTAGTGATATCTATGTGTTTTTAAAAAAACACCATCGGATGGCTCTGAAGCAGAAGGGTGATTCCTCACCTCTGTGGTCCCCTTTACCTTTACCATGTCCACAAATGGTTTTGAAGAAATATGTTCCTTAAAGTGTTCGGTATATACCAGTAAGAAAAGTTCTTAAATTTACCATTGTTTTTGGTTTTTTTATGCTGTAAATTTCTGTGGTGAAAATAAAGCAATTGTTTTAGAGTTTTACTTTTTTTTTTTTAATATGATACTGGGAGTTGAACTCAAAGCTGCCTAGGCAAGCAAGCACTGTACCACTCAGCTACATGACTAGCTCTTTTTATTTTGAGAGAGGGTCTTGCTAAATTTTCCAGGCTGCCCTCAAACTTGGCATCCTCCTGCCTCAGTCTCCCTAGTAGCTAGGGTTACAGGCATGTGCCACTATGCCCAGCTGTAGAGCAGTTTCTGGATGATCTTTGAACACTGGTGTATTTAACTAAACTGTTTCCTGTGTTTTATGTAAAAGAGACTTTGTCCTGTTGGTTGGAAGTTAATTCTGTTTTTTTGTTTGTTTGTGTGTTTGTTTAATCTTGACAGAACTGTTCAAGAGACAACCTTTGACTTGGGAGGAGATGTTCACAGTGGAGCAGCGTTGCCAACAAGCAGGGTAGGCAATTATGTATTTTTGACCCGATTTTCCTCTGTGTTTAACATTGTAGAACATTGTGGACAGATACACTGGTAAAATACGACTCTCCTGTATAATACAGTGGCCCACCATGGGTCATACCGCTCCATTGTGTATCTCTTGGAGGCATGTGAAGGAGAGGTATGAGGCTGTTTGTTCCTTTTTCCCACAGCCAGGACATTGTGCTTTCTCCTCCACATGGAGCACATGTTACCTAGGCTTCACTGTTGTGGGGTTAGCCCTTGTCTTAGTTACTCTTCTCAGTGTTGAGATAAAATACCTGACAACCAAAGTTAAAGGAGAAAAGGATTATTTCAGCTCACAGTTTGTAGAAGTTCCAGTCCATAGTCAGCTGGCTCTAAGGCAGGTTGGCATGGCAGAAGAGTATCACAGAAGAGAAACCATTCATGGCATGGCAGGCAGAAGGCAGCAAGCAGCATCAGGGAAACATCAGAAGCATCCTTCCCTTTCTCCTTTTATATTCTATCCAGGCTGTAAATTTATTAATTGGTGCCACCCAGACCCAGGGTGGGGCATCCTTAATCCCAGCATTGCACACCTTTGACCCAGCTATCTCTGAAAAGCCCCACCTATGACCACATGAGGCTTTGGGAATACATCTAGATAAGCCACAACAGCCCTCCTGGGCCAGATCGCACCTGAAAGCAAGTGTTCTCTTGTCTAGCCTCAGCGTCAGGGCTAGCTTGTTCGCTGGGTGGCCTCAGGCACTGTCCCTCTACAGTTATCCTTAGTTCTAGGGTAATCAGTTCATTTCTTTCCTCACTTGGTTTTGTATGCTGCTGGCTAACAAACCACTCCAGAACTTAGTGGGCCAAAACAACAGCCCACTTATTTGTGTACAAGATTGTGATCTGTTTTGTGTTTCCTAGGACAGTTGGTTTGCTCGTCTTCCTGCTGGTCACTTGTGTGGCTGCATTCAGCTAGCAGATCACTCGGTGTCCAGACCATACTGGGACTACCCCGCTGCCTCTGTTATCTCAGGTTCCCTCAATGGCCCTTCCACCCCAGAGTCAGCCAGAAGTCTTAGTTGTATGATACTTCACAAAAAACTTGAGCCTCTAAGCTTCCTAAGGCTTGGGCTGGTGTAGCATCGGTTCCTCTGCCTTGCCTTTGTTGAAGCAATCTCGGGCTCATCGAGATTCAAGGGGAAGAGGATTGCTTGAGATGTAGTTCATTGGAGTCCACGAGGCAGCAGAATCTTGAGTATTCTCATCAGCATCAAAACATGCAACAGGATCTCCTAAAAATCTATAGTACTGAAACCTGTCAGCTATTGACAGGTTGTCACTTGTCTACTCTCATTTACAAGACAGTAATTGAAAAAGTTATCTGTAGTGACTCTCTCCACTTTCTAACTTCACATCCTTTAGTCTACACCCATTGACTTTTGCCCCTACATAGGTAATGTGGCTGTCCTCCTGATTGCCAGATGTTTCTGTTTTCTGCGTCCTACTTGTCACAATAGTGTTTATGCCATCACAATGTGGCACACTTTGTTCTGGCTTCCAGGGAACTGCTGTCCTGATTCTTCCCCTACCATGTGATTGTTTGTCCTTGGTCTCATTGTTGATACCTCTTCCTCGTACACTTGGCTTCTGCGAGTTGGAAGGCCCCTTTTCTTCTGTGTGTGGTGACTTTGCCCTGTTGCCTAATTTCATACCACCTGATGTCCATTATCCTCTAGTTGCAGCTTTGGCTCTGACCTTTCCAAACTTAAACTGCTAGAGGCTTGCTTAGCATATCCACTTTGATGTCTGATACATATTTCATATTCAGCAGGACTAGGACAAGACTAAATTTTCTTTCTGAAACTAACTTCTTCCCTGATCTTTCTCTACTTTAGAAGGATACATCCTCCATACCCTTGTTCCACAGGAACCTGTCTTGATTCCTTTTCTTTATTCAGCCTCAGTTTCTATTTCTCTGCCTCTGAAGGGTACATGCATGCTGGCTTCAGTGCAGCTCTTGTGTCATGAGTGCCACACAGCGTCCTGGACAGCAGCCCCTCTTCTGCTCTTTGTCTTCTCACATTCACCCTTCCTTCCATGTGGTACTGGGTTTTTTCCCAGGCCCATGTGTGTGCTAGGCATGTAGTCGTCCACTGAGCTACATCCTCAGCCTCCCAGGTAGCTGGGATTATAGGTGTGCGCCTTGATGCTTTGCTCTGTTTTCTCACATTTTAAAATCGTGCATTTGAATCTTTTGGTGCCCTACTCATGAAGCCCCTGGTAGGCTTTCCGCCACAGACCAGTTTTTCCACCAGTTTTCCTCCTAGCTTCACAGGTCCTCCCACCTGATGTCTCACACCAGCTCTTTTGGGACTCAGGCCTCAGGGCCTTCTGTCCCTGACTGTGCCCGCCTCTCCCATCTGAAGCCCCTTTTGTACTGTGTGCTTGCCCTTGCCTTTTGTTTCCACACAGCAGAGCCTTGTCCAAGCCAGCCCTTCTCAAGAGGTCATCCTCAAGTGTCCAGTAACACTACTGTATTTAAGTTCTTGGAGTACCCTTCATTATTGTTTGATGTCTGTCCTAATTATTGACTGACTCGAATGTGAGCCCTGGACTCAGGGATCTTGCTTCACAGATCATTGCTTTGCCCCCGGTACTTAGAAAAGTCCCCTGGCTCTTAGTCTCAGCAGACTAATGCATTGAATACTCTTGAGACCAAGTAGAGCTGGTTCTGAAAATATATATATAACCAACATACACTTGCTAAATAGAAGTAAAAATATAAACTGAAAAATCATCCACAATAAGCAATAGTTAACCTCTTCCTTGAGCTGTGTCTTGTGTTTGTTCACTGACACATGCTCACACAGCTGGGTGGATCTCTCTCCATGCATAATTTTCTGTCCTGCTCCTGTTCTTAACCGTTGGATGGGTGTCTGTCTCTGTCTCTGTCTGTCTGTCTCTCTCTCTCTCTCTCTCTCCCCCCCCTCCCCCTCCCCTTTCCCCCCTCCCTTCTCCACAGAGCTGCCTAGATCTCTCATTCTCTGCACACACAATTCTGTCCTGCTTCTGTTACTGATTCATGTCCACATAGTTGGATAGGTGTTTCTCTGTCTCTGCAGACTTATTTCTGTCAGGCTCTAGTTCACTTATACTCATCCACACACCTGGATTGATCTCTCTGTTCATACACAACTTTCTGTCATGCTACTATTCACTGACATATTCCACACAGCTGTTGATATCTCCCCGCACACATTTGGACTCATGTTCATTGTCCCACAGTGTGTCCGTATAGCTGGATAGATCGATCTCTTCTTTAGGCATTATTTTATGAGCATTTTTTCATGTTTTAAAAGTCACTTAAAAGCAAGGTATCTTATAATATGCAAGCATATAAACATGCCTAATTTATTTCTTCATTGCACTATTACTGGCTAGTTGCAAAATTTTTTAGTAATATAAATAGTAATCCCACCTATTAACCAAGCAGTTTTATATGTATGAATGTATTTTATCTAATTATTATATATGAGTGTGTGTGAATATATATGTATATATGTAGGAATTGATGTCACAGTATTCTTTATACTGATAACATTTTAAACAGTGCAATAAAGCATTGGCTTGATGAACTTTCATTAATAATCAGTAAAATATTACATATCCATTATAATTCTATAAGTAATGTAAAATGCTTATAACATACACAAAAGAGCATTCTTTGAAAATTAGTTGTATAACCTCATTTATGGAAAGTATGAGAAACTGAAAAATACGTAAAGCTCAATGTTAATTTTTGGGTAGGCAGTATAGATAGTCTTTATTTAGTTTCTTATGGGCAGTTTCATATAAGAAATTTTGCTACAGAGTTTAATTACATAGAACATTTATTAAAATGTTTTGATGGTGTTCTTAATATAGGTAATATCATTTTTATCTAATTACTTGGAATGTGTACAGTTTAGAAGTACTAAATATACTCTGTTGGGTCACTATGTATGTGTTTCTTGTTTTTGTTGATAATGACCAGGAAATAAACCAAGTTCTGTACTGAATTCATTAGATACTAAGCTATCAAGAGTAGATTGGCCAAGACTGATAAGCAAAGCAAAAGACCCCAGTTCTTCATTGTGCATACTCTCTCAGCTCTGACTTTATTTCTTTCTTTTTTTGGTACTGGCGATCAGGACCTTGTGCTTGCAAGGCAAGCGGCAGAACCACTGAGCTAAATCCCCGGCCCCTCTCAGCTCTGACTTTAAAAGATTTTACTTTAAAAGAACTTTGGGGAGTAAAATCACAGTTTTGTTATTCTACTTTTTGAAAAATCATTGTACTTGTACTACTTTTACTTTTGTTTGCCTGTGTTTTATAGCCAATTCCTAGTTCTTTGAAAATGAAAGTAACTGTAATTCATGTTACTTTTAATGTCACGTGGTTTTTGCCATGCATGGACACAGCATCCTCAGCAGGGCTGCGGTACTGTCTGGTCTTGCCCTCAGTGTTCCTGTGTGGCAGACCCCCATCAGATGTCTGTCTGCAGCACCCAGTATAAAGCTTGTTTGGCACTGTAATTCATTATGTTTCTCCCACACAGAGTACCACTAGACTGGACAGTGACAGGGTGTCATCTGCCTCCAGCACGGCTGAGCGAGGAATGGTGAAGCCAATGATCCGTGTGGATCAGCAGCAGGACTATCGAAGGTAGGGAATGTTTCAGCTTTAAATGTGAAGGTGGTCCAGATATTCCTAAAGAGGGTTTGTGGCAAAGATTACTGAATTTGTAGAGGTTCAGCTGACATTTTCAGAATGTTCATAATAATATTTTAAGAGTATTTCCTTTCCGTGTTCCTGAGTTTAAAAAAAAAAATCCTTCATCAGTAATTGTGCCCCTCACTCATATGTCCCAGGTTGGTAGGAGACATACTGAGTTACACTAGTGCTCTTCCAAACTGACTGCTCTGCAACAACACCTGGAGAAAGGGGTTTTAATGGAAACTTAATATTTGATAATTTTTGTATTAAGATACTAGTTATTTCACCAGTTTTTAGAACAAATTCTTGTATATTTAAAAATATAGCCAAAATGATTTTGCACTACTTTTTCAGCAGTTTGGAGGGCTGTGTTCTCACATCATGCATGCTGTGATGTGGTGTGTCTCCCTGTTGAGACTAGTGAAGGGTGAACCTCTTTTTTCTTTTGGTGATGTTCTTCCCTAGTTTTTTAGGGCAGAATACTTCCCTTTTATTTCCTTACCATTTTTAATATGTCACCTTAATCAGAATTATGTGTGTTCTTGTGACCTCTGAAATTGTTTTAAATGTTGAGAAGTAGTGTAGTGCTTTAAGCATGGTAGTTCAGCAACAGGTGATGAGTTCTAGGTGCTGACAGGAGCACCTCTGTTCTGGAGCCCTACATGGAAATGCTGTGTGACAGCCAGGCCTATGGTTGCAGGTCTGTAATCTCAACACTCTTGGAGGCTGAGGCAAGAGGATCACAAGTTCGAGCCCAGCCTAGGCAACTTAACAGCTTAATGAGACCCTGTCTCAAAAACTGGGCTGGGGGATGTAGCTCTGGATTCAATCCTTAGTATTTCAAAAGAAAGAAGGGGGGCTGGGTAAGGGAGACTTTTTAAAAAAGTGTGATTAGTGTGGAACTTTGTCAGCGTGGAACTGAGAACAGTGCCCTGTAAATCCTCTTTCAGATTTTTGAGAAGCCTTTCAGAAGCTCAGTAGCTGAGCAGGTTGGTGGATGCGGGTGACGTGCTTAACGTTACCTGCTAGTTCAGCCACTGGCCGTGAAGAGCCAGTTGTAATTTCTCCTCATCCAGCAGAGGGCAGTGGATGCTGCAAAATTTTATCTGTCATTTATTAAATACATAGATTCATCAGAGAATGCCAGGTTTTAATTTTTATTGTGGATTTTTGGCTGTTATGTGAGATTTTGTTGGCTATGTGAATTTTATTAGATGTCATAAAAAGTAGCTTACTTTCTGTGTTTGTACTTGTTTTTGGTGGTATAGCATACAATTTCCAGAATGGAAAATTACTGTTATAATGAGTACCTCTGTTTATAAAGTGATTGAGAAATATTATCATAGTTCTCAGCTTAGATGTTTGAAGGAGTGCATGAATCCAGATGGGAAAGAGAAAAGGTTACTTAAGGCATGTAAAATTAATAAATATATGTAGTTTATAGTATGTTAGTAGTGTCATAATAGCGACAGTTTATAGTGTGTTAATGCAGTGTCATAATATCCATAAGCCAGAAGATTATGTTTTCTACACAAAACATTTTAATTATATGTTTTGCAAGGAAAGGTTAGTTTGTTTTACAGAGACTTAGTGAAGGTTTTACTTGAACTATAAATATGTTACTTTGTTATTTTCAAAACAGGATGAAGTATATGAACCTTTCTTCCCATTCTCACTGTTTTTCATATGTAGAATGTTGGAATACACCATACTTAATTTAATTGGTGTAGTCATAAAATTTGAGCTGCTTTAATATAAAATACTAATTTTAGTCATGAAAAATTCCTTTTGAATGATTGAAGTGACTTTTAATTGTCATTTTTTTCTTTTACCAATCACAATTTAAATTCCTTAGTTTTTCCAGACTTTTTAAAACTATTAAACAAATAATTGGTTAAAGTTATCCAGGTTCATTTTATAGAACAAATTGAAACTAACTTCCTAACTGTGATTTAGGTATCTATAAATGTAATAATAAGAGACATATTAAAATAATTAAGTACTTAAATGATATTGTTTCTAAGAGCATCTTTATTTTTGTAAATGAGTTAAATACAAATATTAAATCATAAATTGAAAAATAAATTTTGAAGACCATAATTTGACAAAAAGAATATTTTTGCTTTTGTTTTTGATGATTATAGTAGTTTGTGTGAACTCAATTATATTCTTTCTCTTTACTCATCTTTTGGTGCTTGGAGAATATGAGGGTGGAGAGAAGAAAACTGTTTGGTGTTGGAAAAGAATTATTTTAGTTAGCCAGTCTGTAAACTATTAAAAATCTATCCTGAATCATTCTTTTATCACTTACGGAGAAAAAAATCTCATTATTTCTAATAACTTATTCAGTGAGTGAACCAATGATTGAGGTATTTATTTATGAAAGATCATTTCCAGCTGTTTTAGGTTTCTCGACTGAATCATCACTGTGAAGAGTGACGATTGACTATTTAAGTCACTAGCGAGTAATTGTGCTTCGGGTATCCTGACAGCTGTCTTTCAACTGACTTTCTGTCTCACCAGATACAAAAGATATTTGAACACCTACTAACCTGAGTTTGATTTAAGTCAGTATTTAACTTAGTGGATATTTTCATTTCAGTGTAAGTTGTCATAATCTCTACCATTCAGTTTTCACTGAAGTTTGCAGAAGGGCAAAACATGTTTCTTGTCTTTTGTTGTTGATTTTCTTATTCTTCAGAGACAGAGTTTTTGAGAATTCTTTCTGATCATTTCTGTTATAAAGTTTAACTAAAATGATAATGATGTTAAATGTTAAGGAAGCTAATTGTTTGCTTAGCTTTGCATAAATATTATGCATAAATTATATGTAGTAGGAAACTCACATAGAATGATACTTTAATGGCTCTCATCTTGTCTAAATGAAAAGGTATTTAAACTGAGCAGTATACATTGAGAAAAATATAAATCCATTAAGATAAGATGATGTAAACTGGATTTTTAATTATTTATCTTACATGGTTTTAAAAGTTGGTGTTTAGCAGTGGCTTTTCAGTGATTTGGTTTTTTGAGACAGGGTCTCCCTTTGTTGTTCACGCTGGCCTTGAAGTCACTATGTAGCCCAGGCTGGTGCCTCAGCCTCCCTAGTGCTGGGATTACAGATATGAGCCACCTCACCCGACATTTTCAGTGATTTTTTTGATCATGGTTCCAACACAGAATTGTTTTCACCTGGCTGGACACACACACGTGTGTGTGTGTGTGTGTGTGTGTATATATATATATATATATATATATCCCTTTATAACTGAAAGAGAAACTTCACAAAAGAGTGCTCATCCTTACACCTTGCCATTGTATGAGGGTCCACTTTTTGAAGAACTTTCTTGCTGAAACAGAAGTGTCTAACTTTTGAATTCATTTGATACTGAATACCTGGATGTATATAAACATTAGCACAATGCTAGTTCTTAGAAATGACTCAAATTATTGTTCCTCTTGATTTGTATTTTTTGCTGCTTCCTTATTTCTGTAGCATTAGGCTAAATGATGAAAAATACCTGAAATTTATATTACCTGATGAAAAAATGAGTAGAATCACTTTTTAAGGCATGCATCCCTGAGGTTGGAAAAGAATGATACTAAATGACTGAAGGAAACCTTAGGGGTCATCTTGTCTACCTTTGTGTTAGTAGACAAAGACAGATGCTATCCAGCTCCTTGGAAAATACTTTCTTTCCAGCGTAAGGAGTCAGTTTCCAACGCACCATGGCTAATTTTTCTTGATGTCTCAGTGGTATGTCTTCATTGTTACCTGAGCCATGGCTCTAGCAGCTGTGGGACAGCTTGATCCCTGTTCTAGACATGAGATGCTCATTAGTATCCAGAATCATGTGTCAGTTCTGCTCTCATGTTAGAAGCCTATACTTAAAGGATCTAACCTTCAGCGGGGAGTTATGAAAAGAGCACTCCCAGTTTATTCATCTAGATGTTTCACTAGGTAACGTATGAGGCAAGGGATTTGGTACTTACTATTTATATTTGGAAACTCTGTATGGAGACATTAAAAAGTTGTTGCAGAACTCTACACAGGTTGTCAGTGATATTGTTAGCTGCATATCCTTACTTTCAGCAATGTCAACTTTCTTTCTTTAGAACTCAGGATGCTGCTGGGCCTGAGCTGATACTGCCTGCAAGCATTGAATTCAGGGAAAGTTGTGAGTAATTTCAGGATCTGTTGTTACTGAATTATTTCTTGTTCTATTTTTCTCCATATGACTTTTATGTGTTTTTTGTTTTCTTCTTTCCTAAAATTTTTATACAGCTGAAGATTCATTTTTATCTGCCATTATCAATTACACAAATAGCTCTACAGTTCATTTTAAGTTATCCCCTACGTATGTGTTATACATGGCATGTCGGTATGTATTGTCCAGCCAGCACAGACCTGACCTCAGTCCTACGGAGCGCACACACAAGGTCATTGCTGTCGTCAACAAGATGGTGAGCATGATGGAAGGAGTCATTCAGGTAAGCTCCAGTCTAGAAAGCCAGCAGTCCTATATTTATGGTAGTTTAGAGTGGTGAAGGAGGTTCTGCAGCACATCTGATCTGGTTACATGTTTGACTCTGTTTTGAGATTATTTTTCCTAAAATAAAAGTTCTGTATATATAAAAATTTTAAAAATGTATAGCTGTTGAAAGTTAACTTTTTCTTTGTTATAAACTTTAGAATAAGTGAAGATAAACTGTGTATTTGGTAACAATGATCATGAGAAAAACTTAAAATTGCGGTAGTAGTTTTGAGAAAGCATTGAGTCTATTGTGTATTTCCTTAGCATTTCTTTAATAATTTATTGAAATTAAATTCATAAAATTAACTGCATTTTTTGATGTGAACAGCATTTAGTGCATTCACACTGTTGTGCAACCACTACCTCCAAAACATTTTCATTGCTCTGAAGTAAAACTCATCTTCCCTTCCCTTGGTTTCTGATAACCACCTTCTTAGAATTTTTTCATGGTTATAGAAAGCACTTGCTTCTTTCTAGTGAGCCCACTATGATGTCAATAGTAATTGTTTTTCTTCTGAGAGTATTGATCTGACTATAGGAATGATGGACATCATGATGAATTTCTCACTTAGGATGAAATCTTTGCTAAGCCTATTTTGAAATTTCAGGAAATTGTGTAGGTAGAGTGATTTCATTCCTTTAAGTACTCTGTAGATCTATAGTTGCTAAAATTGGGATGGCAGTTTTTCATATAAAGGTTAGCCTTTAAAGTCCTTAAAACTAAATTTACAAATGTTTTAAAAGTTTTCCTAATACATTTGTCAGTGATCTTACTCAGCTATAAAAGCCTAGTAATGTTATAATATGATCAAATGGCTTGGTTGTGTTTCTCCTTCTATGATCATTTGAGGGAAACTAGAATGATCTTTTAATTCCCTCAGAGTTGTTTAAAAAGCCAAGACTTTCAAAACATATTTTTTTTAAACATTCAAACAAGTCACATTATAAGAGTTTGGTGGGGTTACGATTGCTTTAGTCAAACTAGGAAAAGGAAAGTCATTTTATTTGAATACCTTTTTGTTACCCCGGTATCATTATTTTATGAACAAGCATGAATTTCCTTTCAGTTTTCACTCCAGAGCCATTGTGTGTCTCCCATCACATTTGCACTTGTCAGCCCATCTTCACACTGCCTTGAGACTTTCCTTGATGGTGTCTGCTAGACAGGGCAGTCACCACCACTAGGACAAGTCTTTTAAATTTGAAATTTAGGATTTATATGCAACTGGACAAATCTCAAAAAACTGTGGCAGCAAGTAATTTAAATTTTACTTTCAAAAAACTAATTTATTCTTTTTAGTATAGGTGTGCGTTCCTTATACATTTATAAATTTTCAGCTTTTATTTTGAGGTTTTTACTGGTCTTTCCTGTCTCATTCTAATTAATTCAGGGGAATGGACTCTTATGTACCTTTAAGTAGTAAGCACTCAGTATCATTAAAAAGACATTTAGAAGTCCTTCCTTTGCATATATTTTAAAGAGATCAGTATGTTCATGTGTGTTTTATTATAACATCTTTATAGATAAATTTATAAAATTCACTTGTGCTAATGTTAAGAGTGTAAAACTAAACCTTTATGTCATGTACTTCCAAAGCTGCTTCAGAACCGACAAATGAAAATGTAATTTGGGAATAGCATAACTAAATGTTGTACGTTCATGTCGTACCTTCATATTAGTGTTTTGATTTTTTTAGACTATCATGATTGTTTACAAGTTTCTTTCTCTTGTTCTGCTTGATTTCCCCTCGTCTGTTTTTCTCCAGGAAGTAGACCAGGTTGATCAGGTAGGACATACTGCTGGGAGCTGATCCTAGCTGTGTTGGCTTAGCTGAGTTTCTCATGCTGCTTCCATGTCAAATACAATACTACAACAACTGGACTGAACAGTTCATAACACTCATTCAGCAACTGAAACATGCAGTACTAAAATCCTTCTTGACTGTGCCACTTTTATCAGCATTTCATAATTTCTGCTTAATGCACTTCAGCGTGGATATGAAATGACAAAAGATCTGTTTCTTCTCTTTATTATTTATCCTTGGTTCCTATTCTTTGGATCTCATCTGAGGTTGCCTGGCCTGCACATGTGGTCGGGAGAGGACACAATAGATCAGTATTTGATACTGAGTTGCATGGTGTCCTAGCCAGTGACTACAAGTATCAGGGTGGCTGTGGGTAACCATGGATACATGTGTGTATACTGCACAGATTACCAGATAATGCATAGTCTACAATTCGGTATTGTATTATTTGAAATCTCCATTTTCCCCACTCATTCCATTAATTGAAGCTAATTACACCCAGTTGTCTGTGTATAAAACCTTCAAAGCAGCTGCAGTAGTTGTTGCTTTCTACTGCACTGTGTACACCCAAATTCCTTTGCAAGTATCTGGTATCTGTGGTAAATACCTGGGTGAAAATGGGAACGTATTGGTTTATCTTCGGCAGCTTTTCAGGAGCATTCCTGTTTGTTTTATTATTTTAGTTTATCCTGTGTTGCTTATGGAAATGTGTTCTGTTCACAGAAACAAAAGAATATTGCAGGGGCGCTGGCCTTCTGGATGGCAAATGCATCTGAACTTCTCAACTTCATCAAGCAGGACCGAGACCTCAGTCGGATCACATTAGATGCCCAAGATGTCTTAGCTCACTTGGTTCAGATGGCATTTAAGTAAGAATCACATGTTTAAATGATGACACTGTTCTGTAGAGTTAATCATACATTTTCTTATATAGTTTTCAAAATTAATAAAGTTTTTACTTATCTTAACTGAAGATATATCAAGAAACAAGTAAAACGTGTTGACTTAAGAATATTGAATTCAATGAGCTGTGTTTTAAGGATCCTGAGATTATAACCCTTATATCTTTAAAAATGGAAAATACTACTAAAGAATACAGATTGTTTGACATAGGATAACATGTCTACAGTAGCAGTGTATTGTGCCGAGATTATTAAAATTGTTCACATGTTTTTCAGATACTTGGTTCATTGCCTTCAATCAGAGCTTAATAATTACATGCCAGCCTTTCTGGATGACCCTGAAGAGAACAGTCTACAGAGACCAAAAATAGGTTAGGATATTCTTTGTCCCCTCCCTCCCTCCCCTTCATATTTAACTTCATCTTAATGTTTATTATATGTAAAGGTGTGTGATTTTTAAATAAATGAGAGGTCTTATTTGATTTGGCAGTCTTAAAAATAGTAACTTTTAATTGCAGTGTGTTTTGTTTATAAATAGTTCTCATTTTTGGTATGTCATGCATATCATAACTTTTAAAAAAGTCTTTTGGGTGAACTTACACTTGAAGTGTGGCTTGTTAATGACTGTTTATAGTTTAAGACCATGTCACCGATTCCTATCTGAAAGACACTGGTATTTTGAAGTGATTGCATAGCAGTTATTACCATAACTTCCATTTTCTAAATTTGGTGTAACACAGAAGGTTCTTGGATGATATGTGGCCCCTGTCTTTTCGTCTGTGTCCTGACAGATGATGTGCTGCACACACTCACGGGAGCCATGTCTTTGCTGCGGCGCTGCAGAGTCAATGCTGCTCTGACCATCCAGCTTTTCTCACAGCTGTTCCACTTTATCAATATGTGGCTGTTCAACAGATTGGTGACTGACCCAGATTCGGGGCTGTGTTCCCACTATTGGGGAGCAATTATCCGCCAGCAGTTGGGACATATTGAAGCTTGGGCAGAGAAGCAGGGGCTAGAGCTGGCAGCTGATTGTCACTTGAGCAGAATTGTACAGGTTTGTGTACGTGATTCTCACCCTACCAGTAATGTACTTTATGGTGAATGTATCAGATTTTATGGCGGGCAAGAATTTAGATGCAGCAAAGCCTCAGGACCCTCTTTTAGGAGTTTTTCGTATGTACAAATAGGGAAATAGTGATGTGTGTTAGTATCTGGGCCACCATAACAGCACTGCAAACTCAGTGGCTTCATAGAAATTTATTTCTCCCAGTTCAGGAGGCCAGGAGTTGAAATCATGGTGTTAGAAGAGCTGGTTTCTTCTGTGGGCCATGAGGGAGAATCTGTTCTAAGTCTCTCCCCGCAGCTTCTGGGGACTTACAGACAATCTTTGGTGGATGCCTCATCCTGGTCTCTGCCTCCTTCTCCCCATGGCAATCTCCTTGTGTGCATGTCTGTCCCAGTGTCCACTTCATATAAGCAGACTCAAAATTCTTGACCTAGTAAGCTCACCTCAACTTGAGTACCTTTATAAAGACCATGTCTAAATGAGGTGCTTTCTGAAGTCCTGGGAGTTAACCCTCTGACGTAGGAATTTTGAAGGACACAGTTCAGCCTTAATAGGCAGGTAACCAGTAGCATATAAATATCCTTAAAGGATCCTTTTTTATTGAGATCAGTAAGGCATATTTCAGAAAGCTCCATACTGTAAGATAAATACCAGTTTAAAAATGAACAATTAACTGTTAAGAATATAAGCCAGATCATATCCTAATGTCTTAGCCACTTCTGAGAGAATTTTTAAGATACCTAATACTAGGAACTGGTCTTTTGAATTTCAGGAAATGAGTTATCTATAACTTAAACCCTAGGACAATTTTTTTGTTATTTTAATTTATTATTTAACTTTGTTCTTGATTTCTTTATTTCCTTTGAAGAGATTTGGTACATAGAAAGGCTAGATTGGTAGTTATGAAAAGTCATTATATGGGCCAGGGATGTAGCTCAGTGGCACCCGTGCCTGCCTGGCAAGGGCAAGGTCCTAAGTTCAATCCCAGGTACCTGAAAAAAAAATCATTATAAAGAAATTATCATCTCCTTGTAATTGGTTATCTGAATTGTTATGTAAATGTGTAAACTTTCAAGGGGAATTTTAAAAATGTGTTATGAATAGTAATAGTTGAATCTAATTATGTAGTGAAATCTAAAGGGCATCTAAAAGCCTTTTAAAATCAGTATTTAGTTTAATTTAAAACTGTGTCTTTATAAATATCCCATGTGTCGAAATTACCAAGTTTTTAACTTTAAACATATTACATAAAGGACTTTTTTTGGTGTTGGGGATTTGAACCCAGGGTCTTGGGCATGCTAAGCATGTACTCCCACTGAGCTGCAACCTTAGACCCAAAGGATATTTGTGCTATATTGTACTTTTAAATATTTTATATCACTTATTCTTTAAAAGGCAACCACTTTGCTTACCATGGATAAGTATGCACCTGAAGACATTCCAAATATAAACAGCACCTGCTTTAAATTAAACTCACTGCAACTTCAAGCCTTATTGCAAAATTATCACTGTGCACCCGATGAGCCTTTTATCCCAACAGTAAGTGGATGTTACTCTATTACCAAACAGTGTGGGCATGTTTGGACAGGGACATTTTGATTTATTGTATTTTTTTTAATTTTTAAAAAATTTATATATTAATTTGGTACATTTTAGGTATGCAATACATTTACATTTATCATTGGGTGTTTGTACCTGAACATGATGTATCTTAGTTCTTATTTTTTTCCCCATTACCTATGCGCCCTTCACCCCCACCACCCTTCCCTATTTACATAGACTTTGTTTCCATTTTTGTTTTTTCTTTCTCATAATTTTTCCTTTCCCATAATTTTTCCTTTCCTTTCCATTTTGATTTATTAAAAAAAGGAAAACTTATTTAATAATTTACTTTAGTAAGTTATTTAAAATTCTGAGATCATTCTGCTGTTGATATCTGAGGAGTACAGTGTGTAGAACAGAAACCACACAAGTGATTTAATTAGAAAATGATTTAACCTAAGTAACTGCTTTTTGGGAAATGATTGGAAGAACTAGAGGAAAGGAAGTTGGGAGGTTGTCCCCGAACAATGGAGTTCAGGTGTCTGCCACTGTAAGTACCATAGGGCCAAAGCTGCTGCCATAGCCACAAAGATTCTCTTACAGCACTGTCAAGTCTGCACTTTAGCATCAACAGCAGCAGCACATGAGCCTCCACTGTATGGCCACAAACTTTGTACAGAGGTGTCTGTTAGTAAAATCCATCTTAATCCAGAAGAGAGCCTAGAGTTTGGGCGTGTCTCCTGCACACAGGAAGGAATGGAGGGTGAGAAACCCATTCGATAATATCTACCACCATTGGCCATTTATACTGAGGGCCATGCTGCAGATATCTGCCATAAGAGCCTAAGGTCTCAGTAAGCTGACAGGCACAAGATTTCCCATGCTGGAAATCACTGTCAACAAATAGTACAACAAACAGTTCAGTGGGTCCATAAATCATATCAGTCATACAAAGGAATAGTAAACTGCAGTGAGAAAGAATGAACTACAGTTACACAGCTTGATGAATATTATGACATAATTAACACAAGAGAACCCATATTCAGAGTATCTATGATATGTGTATATCTGTATGCACTTCAAGAAGAAATAGAACAGTCTGTAGTGTTAGAAACTTAGGTAGCTGTTCTCTTTTTGAAAGTAAGGATGGTAGTGGGGAATGGGGCATGCTTCTGGTGGCCAGTGTTCCATTCATGGAGTGGAGCTGGACATAATTGTTGAGCTGGTATCCTCATTTCATTGAGCTGTACCATTAGGATTTTGAACTTTTCTGTATGTTTACCATGTATCAGTAACATTTTTTCAAACAGAAATCACCCATAAACCCATAATCAGAAATACCTTCTGTCTATTGATGTTTCCAAAGTAGAAATACTGTATAGATATTTTGTCCAATTTTTATATTTAACAATGTGTAAGCTTTTCCTTTGTCATTAAACAATCAACAGAAATACAGTTTTAATAACTGAATCATATATTCAAGAATTGTACAAAGAAATGACTGTTTAGGAAAAGAGAAAAACATTTCCTTGTGATTAAACAGTTTTTATGTAAAGCTATAAGTAATTGAGCATTAATAATTACTATCTTGATTCATATTTAAAACATGCTTACCTTGCATGTGTGCTCCGAGTATATTGATCAGTTTGCCTCCATAGCCCTACATCTGTGCAAGTCTTAAGTGTGCTGTAGTGATTTAGAATATTTAATATTTATAATATTAATATTTAATCTTCCAGTCAAGCATGTCTTTGTGACTTAATGCTTGTGTTCCAACAGGATCTTATAGAAAATGTGGTGGCTGTTGCTGAAAACACAGCTGATGAGCTAGCCCGCAGTGATGGGAGGGATGTACAGCTGGAGGAAGATCCTGACCTGCAGCTGCCTTTTCTTTTGCCAGAAGATGGCTATTCCTGTGATGTTGTCAGAAACATTCCAAATGGTTTACAAGAGTTTTTAGACCCTCTGTGCCAGAGAGGTAAATGCTTTTGATGACACCTGAATCTAAGTTGTAGCCCAGGTTGAAGTCAGCCTTTCATTTGCTGTCTTAACAGCCCACTCGGTGGGAGAGCACCTGTGTCATTTGAATAGTCTCTTCACATGACTTGAGAAGCATTTCCCATGACGTAGGTTCAGACAAGTCAAGACACAGACTTTGGGTGTGTTAGGGCAAAGCCTGTGGGTATCCTGGTGGCATCTGCTGCCTGAACTTTTGACTGCTTCTCTCTCCTGGCATTCCATGAGCCTAGTAAGTGGATTTACCCCCTTGGACCAAGCTGGGACCTTTGTGTGGGGTATGTGTGTATATGCCAGCCCAGCAGAGCAGTGGAAAATGGCACAAACAGTTCCCCACCAGCCCTACCAGATATGCTGCATGAGGGATTACTCTTGCCTCAGTTTCTTATCTGTAAAGTGGGCCAAGAGATTGCTGAGGACTGGAAATGTTCCCCTTGGGATAAGAGTTCTGAGTACCAGTGTATTGCTGCTGCTGCCACTGCTACTACCGCCACCACCACCACCACTGCTGGGCCACCCTGCCTGGCTGGCATGCCCTGTGAACCCTACACTTCACTTTTCCATATTGAAGAGCTAACTCAGCACAACCAAGGTAGCATGCATCTCAGACATTTCCCTAACCATGACTTTTGCTTCATAGTCTTTCTGGTTCATATGGATTGAAAACACCACCATTATTCCTGAAGTATAAGCTCTTGAATTAGACCACATTTTAATTCTGCTCTGGTACTTTTTTATAATGTGGGGAATATCTCAGGTGAGTAGAATAGACTCAAAATGTGGGAGTCTATTTAAACAAAGAATAACAAGAGTTATTCAAGTTAAGGTGTTCTGTCCATAGGCAGTTTAATGAGTATGATTATTACCTTAAGTAAATATTTTACCACAATAAATACATTTTTGTATCTTTAACTGTCTCAAAGTTTTTGATAGTTTTAAAAAACTCATCTTAGAGTGGTGACTTCTCTTGAAACATGTTGTTTGCTCAGCTCTCTGGGCCATCCTCAGAGGAACAAGGATGGGGGCAGCAGAGGTGAAGCCTGTTAGGATATGAACGATGAAGAGAGGGGAGCAGGTAACAGGCAAGGGAGAGCCCATGTGTCCCCAGGTGGAAAGGAAGACCAACTGGGCTGCAGTGTGGTCCTGGTGGAGTGCGCTGGCCCAACCTCTGAACATTGGTTCTGTAGTGGCAGGTACTCAGCTGCCACAGGCTGCCTAGAGGTACCTTTCTGTGTCCCCCACATACCAGCACTGCAGAGACCACATCCAGCTCTTCTACTTCCCAGATGCACCCCACTTGAGTCAGCCATGCCACTGTCTCTGACAGTCCCCTCTCCCCACTCCCCTGCTCTTCTGCTTTGTGCCTCTGCTGCCATCAGCTCATTTAAAACTAGGGTTATTTATGGCTCTGTGCCCTGCCAAGAACTCTTCCCCTTGTAGGGTCAGAATAAACTATTGAGCATGCTGTCACCCCTCCCCCAACTCAGGATATGGATGCTGTTTGTCAGTGCAGAACTGCTGTTCTGTCTGCTGTACCCACATCAGCTCTTGCCGCTGTTGAGCCCCCCCTCATTAGTGGTTTTCTTAAATTCTAACCAGACCCCCACTCATCTAGAAAACCTTAGCCTCATCCTGATACTTGGTATGCTTTTCCTGAGAGTAGCTGTCAGTGTTGCTTACCTCTGTCACTATTCTGTTGCTCTGCACTTAAAAGGGGCCACGCTTCCTGATACTTTCCCTGCATGAGTGAGCATGGAGCTAGTGCTCAGGTTGCTGGTGCACAGGTGGGGTGAGTGCTCCCAGAGTACACACTTGGTTGGCCTTCCTCACTCTCCCCACATCCATGCGGGCCTTTAATGCCTTGTCTGTAAGCAAGCAGGGAGACTGATTTTTGCAAATGTTATAATTTATAATGTGCAGCAAGTACCAATTTGTCATGTGTACCGCGAAGCAGATACTTGCAAATGTGGAAATAATAAGGCTTTAATTAAGTTTTCTTTGGAACTTCCCCTCAGGTTGTCTTGAGTGAATAACTTTAGTACGTAGGTGATATTTTGTCATGATATTGGCATCACTACATGACTTCATATGTGTTAGATAATTAATTATAATACATACAGCCTAGTGCCCAGATGCCTTTAAAAGTCTACAAAGAGTTGGGTGTTATATGACTTCAGTGTTCTTAATTCTTCATGCCCTGTTCTTTGTAAGCTGATTAAAGAACTACTGTGTACTCTGAGTTCCTTTTGTTTTTTCATACAATGCAATTCTGTGAGAGAAGACTGTGTAACTAGCCTGGACCTGTACCTGGGCTGAGTTGCATTCCTTAAGCTCTCATAGTGCAAAGACTCCATTGGCACCATGGTCCAGAACTTAGAAGGAAACCAGACATTTGAAAAATAAAGATCATAATTTTTAATTGATATTTCAAAATCTTGATAAATTCATGGTACCCTAAAACATAGGCAGGGAAAACAAATTAGAGTTATATGTTAATGAAACTGGATTGAAACTGATTTTTGTTTCAAAAAAAAAAAAAAAGTAAAATTACTTTATATCCATTTTTTTAACTAAATGTACTTTTGATATCTCCTTTTCCCTCTACCACAGATAAACTTGCCAAAAGTGTCCAAAAATAGCAGTTCACATTACCCCTAGTGATGGAACACTTGATTTGACAAGGTCTCGATAGTGTAGGTGAGGCGGAGCTGCCTGCTATCATACACAGCACAAGCATTTTCTCTATCAGTGCAGGCTCCTTCTGGAAGAGGACCACAGCAGCTTTGGAGGAAGCTTTAGAATCACTAAAGGCCTGTGTGGTGTAACTTTGTTAGAGAATTACTGAGAAATACAAAATAAGATTTGATTAAATGAAGGGTGATGAGTTTTGAATTAAAATGTCATTTGTCCCTAATGAAAATAACAAAAATATTCTTTAAAACATTAAATGATTATAAAATTTGTGAGAAACTTAAGAGTATGAACTCAAAAGAAATTTGGAGTAGTGAGAAGGGGCATGCCTGACCATAGACTTTTTACAAGTTAAATATTGTCTTGAATATAAGTCATTTAACACAGTGTCAGATGAGGTAGGCAGACACCCATGTCTGTGTCGTTCTCTGGTTTCCTTTGTCATTCCTTTTCTTTGCTAAATAGATACTCAGAATGTCATTGACGATCTTCCTAGTTCAGTGGGGCAAAGAGTTTGGCAAAGAAGTAATTACAAGATAATTCAATAATTTCTTATGGAAGTAAAAAAAAAGTTCTTTTGGGACACAGGAGGAAGAGACTAGATTTTTCTTTTTACTTTTGTACTGAAATCCTAGGATCAAAATGAATATATTATTTTAAATGGTAATTCAGTTTTTAGAGTGAATAAAGTATAAAGAAAAATATTATCATTAGCTAGTAAGCACTTAATAATTGGTCTTGCTTTCCTTGGTGAAGATCATGGGTCTTGAGTGGTGTGCTTTTTCCACTTCATAATTTGCTTGTTTTCTTCTCAGGATTTTGCAGATTAATTGCTCACACACGTTCACCAGGTACTTGGACAATATATTTTGAAGGTGCAGATTACGAAAGTCACCTTATGCGTGAGAACACAGAACTGGCAAGTATTTTGAGGATGTTAGACGAGCTGTTTCATAAAATCTATTCCTAATGACTTGAGGGTCTGATACAAACTTGTTCCTTACTTACAATGAACATTTTTGTGATAGGAAAATATTTTTTAAGATCATTTTTAGTACCAATTTGATTCAAACATCTTAAACTGTGATTTGTATAGGTACATATTTATTTCCCTTCTGGACAGTGCCTATAGTTTTGTCTACAAACATATGATACTTTAAAAAAAGCAGAATATTTACACTTATAATCATGCTGACATTAATGTTAATGCAAATTTAAAAACATGATAATGTGGTAGCCTTAACAGATGTTATAAGAAAATATTTTTCAGACCAGGGATTTAGCTCAGTGGTTTCACTGCCTGCCGCGGAAGCGCAAGGACCCGAGTTCGATCTCTGGTACCAAAAAAAAAGAAAAGAAAATATTTTTCTTTGGCAAAAATATTTTATTCTTGCGTAGTCCTGCCTTGAATTAAATGTATATCAAGTCATCCTCTGATATTTTGTATCTTTTGAAATAGTATTAAAGAGCTTCATACATCTTATGGAAAATTCTGCTTTGCTTGCACTTTTTTATATAGTAATTCAAAGTAATTCACTTTGGCTTCCTAACATAGTTTAGGCTTGAATATATACAAGAGCCATCTCCAAAAAATTGAATTGTTATTCTGTTACAACAAAAATGTGATTACACTTAACTACTAATGAAGGATCATACCACTAATACTTTTTACTGAGCTTACTAAGTATTGTTTGTCAAATCCGAAGTAACAGCAGCAACTTCTAATTACCAGATTTTGAAAGACAGCAAGTACCTTCTTAGAGGAATCAATCACTCATTCTTCCTTTCTCTAATTTATTCGCTGATTTCAGACTGATATTTTAAAAAAATTTTGAGGACCCGAGTTCGATCCCTGGTACCAAAAAAAACCAATTTTGATACTACCTAATTTTATTTTCTTCAAAATATGCTCTCACAGGCTTTGGTTATCTTCTTTGTAAATGAAAAGGTCATGTGTATAATTTCCACTTCTTACACCTTCATGTTTATGTATTTTGTTAAGTTCCCTCTAGGGTGTGTGCATTGTTGGCTTTGTTCTATAATTTTCTGTAACTGTTGGAGTGAGGTTTGACATGAATAGATCATGTAACTTCCATATACTATTTCTTTCTCTTTCTTGTACATTTGCAGATCTGACCTGCCTCTGAGGGCTATAACTTAGTCCACAGATTGGTTGCCCAGCCATGGAGGTTTTCCTTGGCAGAATATTTTCAGCACAGCTGTGTGAATCTTGTATCTGCTATGTTTTTGTCATTCAAAATAAAATGACTTCATTTTTCCCAGAGATACAGATGTTAGGTCATTTGTGTTACAGCTTGCTTTACTTTTTATTTTTCCCCTTTTTGCTAGCTTACCTAGAAACCATGTGAAATAAATTCAATACTTTCCCGCTAGTTTAAACCACCAGTGCTACACACATGACTGTCCAATTGGGCACCTTATACCACTGGTGCTACAAATGGATCTATTCCCTGTAATCAGTCTTTTTAGAGATAAAATTAATAAAAAACTTCCCAGTGGGTCGAGATAGGCATGTACCACCAGTGGTTCAATCCACCCAGCAGTGAGACAGACAAGTTATGCCTCTGCATGAATGTGTTAAAGTAATTATTTTGAAAGATAATAAGGCAAAAATTGACTTTTGTTTTAATGATCAGGTTTTCTAGCCTGTTAAAAGTTTGACATAGGGGCCAGGGATTTAGCTCAGTGTTTCTGCCACTTGCTTTGCAAGCGCAAGGTCCAGAGTTCGATCCCCGGTACCCCCCAAAAAAGTTTAACATTGTTTTATAACTTAAGTTTTTAATGTTTAAAAAAGCAGCTTTTATGACTGGATTTATCTTCCAGACTGTAATCAAGAGTATCAGTACTGAGCTTTCCAGCTAATTATGTGAAGAGTACCTGAGTTAGGGGGTCTTTTTTTTGCTCTTCCCTTTCGCTTCCTATAGTACACTTGACTAACTTTCTAACCATGTGGAAGCACTTCCGTTTCAGCTGAAAAGTAAGCCTCTGTTTTCATCCTTTAGGACCAGCCTCTGAGGAAAGAACCTGAAATCATCACTGTGACCCTAAAAAAGCAGAATGGAATGGGCCTCAGCATCGTTGCAGCAAAGGTAGGGTAGTGTGTGCCATGTGACCACTAGGCCTTCTGTTCCCTAGGCACTGAGTTGGCTACCATCAGGGCTGCTGCAGTGAGGGAGCGGGAAGCACTGCTTCTGGGGCAGAGAATGTGCCACATGATGAAGCCCACTATGCTTTCAGATTAATAGAAGGATGAACTCTGAGAAGGTGGCAGGGGGAGCAGTACCTGGGAACCAAACAGTTTAAAGGCACAGTCATCACTTGATTAGCACTGCAGGGAAAAAAAGTATTGCAATAAGAGAATGGACACTGATCGGTTGCCTCCTTACAACGGGTCTCAGGCTTTCTTAGCCTTCAGTGATCTGAGAGTCCTGGAAACCTCATGACACAGCAAGGGTTCTGGTTCCTAACCTCAAGTGTCCCTTTCCGGAAGGTCATTTGGAACTTAGGAGGTGGCTATGGATTATTTTTAGGGGTGTTGAGTGCTCCCAGAACTTGGGATTGTAGTCCCTTCACCTACTAGTCTGTTGCAGGATATTTCAAGTCACCAGTTCTTTTCTCTGAGTTATAGGGAGTTAACATTGTAACTCCAGGAGTTATACACTCATAAGCCTCTTACTGTGTGTGTACACTTGCTTTTACTGAACTTCATTTTGGAATTACAACCAGGTATTTTCAGTAGAATAAACAAGATTCCTTAGCTAATAATTTATTAATTAATACTAGCTAATAATTTTGCTTGAAATAACATGTTAGCACTAAAATTGTTGCCTTATGACCCTATCTCTAGGGAATGTGTGAAGCTTTCAGATACTGTGTAGCAGTATGGTAACAGTGCTATCTGAATTGCATGCTGTTAGTATATTCTGAAAAATCTTTTAAAATTAATATTTATTAATATTACTGACTAGTGAAAATTTTTAGGTTGAAATTTATTTTCTCTATACCGGAATTTTAACATCTGAATATTAATTAGAAATGAAGAGATTGTCGTTTAATTTATAACCCTTCAAATCCAGTTACCCAGGAACCTGAGACGTTTCAAAGATTTTGCTGAAACATCTCAATGGACACGCCCCAATCCCCCATATTTACACCTGTGAGGTATGGGATAGGCCATGAGGTACCAGTACTGTACCAAACACATGCAAAGGAATGAGACACTTCCTGAATGTCCTGGCTCTCAACTGGAAGCAGTAAGCCAATGGGAGTAGTAGACACACCCTGTACTGTTCCTTCTTCTAGGAATCTTTACTCCTTGAGCTGCTTTTCAGAACAAGGCTCATATATCCTACTTTCTGAGAAATTCCCTGGCAGCTTGACTATTAATGCCCCCTGCATCAAGACCAGGTCCCTCTGTGATTTCTTTCAAACACTTTGCACAGCTGGAATTAAATCCTTCAGGGTTTTGCTCTTTCTTGCCATTAGCTGGCTCTGGAGCATTTTCTCTCTAGTGTCCTCACTCCAGAACATAGTCTCTGGCATTCGGTAGGCAAAAAGTATTTCCCCAAAAAGGTGAATAAGTAGAAACAAGTTTTCTTTTTATTTTAAAGAATAAATATTTGATTTACTGTCATACATCTTTAATCCTGGAAGTTAATTTATTTACTATAATAAATTTCCAGCTGTATTAGAATAATAGTCACTGAGTTAGATATTAGGAAAATTTTATCCATACTCTTAGTCATACGAGGATCCACTATGAATACCATGAATCTTCATATTTGAGAACTCAGAGAAGTAGGATAAGTGACTAGTGACCACTAACACAGTGTGGGGATCATGAGAGAAGTGGGGTCTCAGCCAGTCCTTGGCATGTCTGTAACTGGGAGAATGTGTCATGTGGGTGCAAGTAGTGATGGAAGCAGCAAATCCTAGACAGGTGTGGTATATGTGCACTTTGATAGCCTTGGGTTGGTGGCCAAGGGAATGGGGGGAGAGGGCCATATACAGACACTGAAAGAAACTTGGTGTGAATAGGTGAGGTGCCTGTACCCTGTTGTCAGCACCACAGAGAAAAGGTTTGGACAGAGGAGGAGGTGGCACCCTGATATCTCAGGAATTTTTCTGGGTTTGATGTGCAGGGTGCTGTGTGGGCTGGGCTGCAGGCAGTGTTCCTTTAGGAGCATCGAAGTCACATAGGATCACCTTTGACAGGAGGAAGGTGGATCTTGAGCCTCTGAGCTTACCTCAGCATCCAGAGTTCTGTGCTCACTGTAGATGCAGTCGTGCTCATGAGCCACATTTCCAGACTTGTCTACAACCCAGAACATTTGGAGATAATGAAAGAGGAAGTAACAACCATAGAATTACTTTTCCTCTTTGCTTACCGGCTGAATTGGGGTCCATTTTCAGGGAAATAAAAAAATAGAATCAAAAATTACTCTCACACACTCAGAGACTATACTGAGAAGATTTCTGGGCTGGACATGAGCTTAGTGGTAGAATGTTCATCTACCCTTTGTGAGGCCTGGGTTTTATTCCTAACTCTGTGAAGGAGAACACAACAAAAAAGACTTAATCTCTGAGCTGTCTGTTATGTACATACACTTATTTCAGGTACTGTCATCTTCTTGGAGATGAGAGGGTTGTGAGGTGAGCTACCTGTATCAGTCTCTGTCTCTTCCAGTTTAAAAGGTCTCAATCCAAAACTACTGCTTTTTCTGTTGTCCCAGGCCTGATTTATGTGCTGTTCAATGTTTCAGAGTTTCTGCTCTCTGGGCTGGTGTCCCAGCACAGAGGAGCCAGCATTTCCTTTGCAGGGAAGGAGGAGTAGGGCTTGGGCTCCACCTGGCACTCCTCTGGTTTGTTTGTCTGGAGGTTTGCCTCTGTTCTTGTTGGACTGCCAGGTGTTAGGTGGGCAGTTAGAACAGTGAGCCAAGCTGAAAGTCACAGTTGAGTCTTTGTTCAGTTGTGCAGGCAAGAGGCCAAAGAAAAGGGAACCGTCCCTGAGTTGTTTCTCCAAGATGGTCAGCTGGGAGTCAGATGGTGGGGAGTCAGGAGGCCTGTCACAGTGAGGAGACCTGAAGAAGGCTGTGCCTATCTGTGGGCCAGCACTGGGCTAAGGGGTGGATCTGTGTCCCGAGGGCTGGTGGGGTCACACAAGACCCAGGTGTGCTGTGCTGCTTGAATTGTTGCACATAGCCTCTGCCCTGCCTCACCCATGCTGCCAGCACAGCTGCCCTGGCATCCAGTTCATCATTCTGCACCTTGTCTTCCAATCCCAGCCTCTACTGATCACTCCTCTCCTGTGGGGGGAAGCCCCTAAGCTACTATATCCTTTGGTGTTTGCCCACATGCAAGGAAGCCTTCAAGGAAAACCCAACCTTCCTTCTACGTCTGCAGCAGACCACAGTTTTAATGAATCTTTGCCATTGCAAAAATCTTTCTCTTCTGTGATAAGAGGAAACCGTAGCAGTCGGTGTAGCTCAGTTGCTGATTCTAGGAAACTAACATGACTGAGGCATCTGCAAGGTTTGACTAAGGAACTGAGCACTTTTCAGATTAAGTACTTTGTACAGTAACTAATTGTTCAGGTAATCTTTATTCCAGAGTATTGAATGCCTGTTTGTGAAAAATGGAGTATAATTCTTCACATTGTAACTTTTAAATTTCTAGGTTTTTTTCTGGTTTCCTTTACTAAGAAAGATATTTTAAAAGATTTTGTTTAAAAGACTTGGAAATAACAGTGCTTTTACTTGTGATACAGATTTATAGAATTGGGGCTTTGTGGAACTTAGTGACCACACAAATTAGAAGGATACACATCCCTGAAGAGTGTTTCTGCCAACCAAATGTGGCACATCTTCCCTAAACCTGCTGAGCCCTGGCCCTGAGTTCACACCTGCTCCCTGCTACTTGCCCCTTTGAGGAGGTGAGGATGGCTGCCACTCTGAACAGGGCACTCCGTAAGCAGAGAACCCTAGGGTTCAGCACTGCCTTTTTCTCACCAGCCTCCCTCCCTCTGTTCAGGGAACAGCTGGGGCCTCCCCAACATGGGGGTGATAATTCACTTTGTTCTTCTTTCTGATCTTTTCAGATATTTTCCACTGTGAATAGTGTACATCAATTTAAAACTAGAAGAAAAGTAATAGTAAAAAGTTCCTAAAAAGGAGAGTCCAGAGTTAGTGTCTCAAGATGGCTACACTTTGTAAATAAATTTAATGAAAATATATATGGGTTTTACTCTCATGAATGTTATTTTTTTTAACCTTGTACAAGTATTCTTCTCCTGCCATACCCATCTGAAATTATAGGCAGCGGCTTTTACATACCTTTTGACCACTTGAGGGACAAGGAGAAGATGAAAGCTGAGGACAGCATCATAGATTGCTATTTACACGAGAATACCTGCTTGAGGGGGTGTCTGGAGTCTGATGTAGAGAGGTTTGGGAGGTAAGCTGAAAAAAATGGCTTTTAAGCAGAAATGTGAAAGGTCAGCAAGGATTGCCAGGGTGAAGGGCAGGTGGAAAGTTTTGGAAGTAGAGCCATATAACTCAGGATGTGGGGGAGAATATGAGTCCAGGCTGAGCGAGATCTTGCAGTTGTAGGCCAGTTTTTCTCAGCAGAGGGCCATGTTGCAGGCCCTGGGGTTCTGCTAAATGGTTATGCTGTCATGTTGTGCAGGGAGCCTGGGACCGTTCCTGAAGAAGACCTGAGTACAGCTGTATGCCAGTGAAACTTTACAGGAACAGGTGTGGGCTGCTGACCACCGCTCAGGTAGTCTTGTGAAATTGAGTCTCAACAGAGCTGTGGGTTTTATTGCAGATGAAACAGGAGTCTCTAAAGATGTTGAAATGAAGGCATAATTTTCCCGGAGTGCCTTGTAAATTAATGATTTGGGTGAAAGAAATAGCAAGGTGAATTCAAGTTCTGTCTTAAATAGCTGGGTTTGTGGAGGTGTCATTTGCTGAAGCAGGGAATGTGCAGAGGGCCACCGACTGGACGGGGGAAAGTGAAAGCTTGATTTTGACACTTGATATTTGGGGAGGCAAAATTTTAGAGCCAGCATATGGGTACCCTAAAGGAAATA